CGCGGCTTTGCTCCGCGTCTTCCTGGTCTGCAGACCAGGGAGACGCGGAGCAGCTTTTCTCGCCCCGGAGTACGCGGGCGGCGGGACCGCGAGGTCTTGCAGTCCGTGTCCTCCGGGGCGAGAAAAGCCCCGTTCGTACCTGCAAGTCAGGGACTGCCTGTATGTTTACACCCGGCGTATAAGACGACCCCCGATTTTTGGGGGATGTTTTTTAGTATAAAAAGTCGTCTTATACGCCAGAAAATATGGTATGTCTTTATAACGTATTCTTGCCTTCCTTCTTCATAGAACAAAATCAGGGAAATCAGAAGCTTGGTGCCTTTGACCTTTTTCTATACACATACATTCTACCTATGCAAATCATGGCTTGAATTTGCAGAAGAATTATCTCTTTTATCACCAAAGGAAACCCAAGTGGTTATCAGGCAAAGTTTCCCCCTCCCCACCCCAATTTCAATAGCTAGTGGAAAGGAAGAGTCTGACTTCTTGGAATTATGAGACCAAACTTTTGTGTTTCGTCTTTTGAACATTTGGTCCTATTGGTCAATTTTTTTGGGGGGGGGGACATTGCTATTGAATGCTGTCTTGTAATTGCTGTTTCACACAGAGGTCTGCGCACATTCTAAACTAATTACACAGGATTATTTCTACAGTGAGGTGACTAACCTGTATATGCTATTGCTTTAAAACCCTGGTTCTGCAAAACATTTAAGCATGAGTTTAAGTTGTCTAAAAAGCTTTTAAGCATGTTCTTATGGTTTTTTTAAATTAAATTCTCTGCTGTAGCATCTACATCAACTGCAGCAATTCTCTTTACTGTCTTGATGGGCTGCAATGCTGGTCTGTCAGTAAGGTCACTGGCAGCTCTGGGTGGGGTTTGGTTTTAGTGCTGGGCAAATTGGATGTTTGCCTAGGGCACCAACTTCCTGGGAACACCACCGTGCCACTTGGTGTTTCTTGTCTGCTGCGACTGGCTGCTTTTGCCCCACTCTGCTTAGCCATTTATTTATGATCTTCTCTGATTGGCCAGCCTTTATTTTGCTCTGCTGATTGGATGATTGTGTAGCTGTTGTGGGGATTTTCTTTGTTTGATTTAGGGAGGTTTTGTTTGTTTGTTTTGCTACACCTCTGCTGTGAGCAGTTATGAACCAAAAACAGTTTTTCACTCTGGCTATGTCTAGACTGCAAGCCTCTTTCAAAAGAGGCTCTTTCGAAAGATACTTTCGAAAGAGCCTCTTTCGAAAGAGAGCGTCTAGACTGCACGCGGAACTTTCAAAAAAGCAAGCCGCTTTTTCGAAAGGAAGCACCCAGTGAGTCTGGATGCTCTCTTTCGAAGAAGCCCTATTTACATTCAAGAACGCCTTCTTTCGAAAGAGCACTTTCGAAAGAAGGCATTCTTCCTCGTGAAATGAGGTTTACCACCGTCGAAAGAAAAGCCGCATTCTTTCGATTTAATTTCAAAAGAACGCGGCTGCAGTCTAGACGCAGGTGAAGTTTTTTCGAAAAAAGGCTATGTTTTTTGAAAAAAACCCTGAGTCTGGACACAGCCTCTGAGTGGCAAAACAGCGAGGGCTGTTCCTATGTCTAGATGCCAGAGGCAAAAACCACAGACTAATCCCATCCTAAGGCTAAGCTTCCTGTTCATGAATCTTAAATCAAGAATAGAACATTCCTTCCTTAATGTTCTATATTAGATCACCTCAATGAGTTGAATTGAACTGTTTTGTGTGTATTTTATAACAGGTCCACCAGGCCCACCTGAAGCTGTGACAATAGATGAAATCACTGACACTACAGCTCAGCTATCCTGGAGGCCAGGAGCAGATAATCACAGCCCCATTACTATGTATGTCATTCAAGCAAGGACACCATTTTCTGTGGGATGGCAAGCAGTGAACACAGGTACATGCAGCATTCTGTAGAAACTAAAATTGACCAAGAAAGAATTCTGTACAGATAAAAGCTGTAAACACCTATACAGGATGACTAAAATTATCAATGCAGCCAACACGTGCCTCCAGTATGGTGATTATAGCTGGTTGGGAACTTTTCTCCAAAACCTTTGTCTGAAAATGCCAGTTCAGTGAAACTGAAACTTTTTTTCCAGTGTAAATAAGACTTGTCAGGAAACATTCCTCAGGTTTGGTAAAGGAGAGAGAAACAGACAGATACATGTGATTCACCCACCTGCTTGCGAATAGCCTTGTTGTTAGGTCATTTGTAGAAGATGCTGGTTAAAGTCCAGGTCTGAATAAGGAATTTCTGTATGGATCTTCCACATCCTAGGTGAGTGCCTTGCTTATTACAGGGTAGGTCTCTCTTATTTTTCAAAGAAAAACTTCAGAAGGTTTTGGATCTGTGGAAAATGGAATGGGAAAAATGGCCAAAATCTCAAAAAGTTTCATCAAAGGGGAAAACCACTTCCCTGTCAAGCTCTAACAGCAATACATTTGATCTTTCTTAATCCTTTGTATGGTTTGCCAACCTTGCAGTGGTCTGACTCAACCAGTTTTTCGCATCCATTTTTATGCATTTTGTTATTGGGGAAAGGTTTTGTTTTGTTCTTTCAATCTGCTGTGCTGGAGATGTACAATATGACGACAACAATGGTACTTAATGTCATCTTTCGGGTGACAGACAGCATCATCTGGAGGACTATCTCTTCTGGCAGAATTAGTTTTTCAGTGGAGGAAGAACAAGATTCCACCATATATTTGCTCATTCTTTAATATGTTCATTTGATTCAGCTACTTGTCGTGAATAAGTTACAATTTGATTCAGCTATTTGTTGTGAATTTGTTACAATTTGAAACAGTTGTCTCAATTGTCCTAAGCAAAAAGTTTACAGTGCTACAATGTGTATGTAAAGCCAGTATAGTTTAAACCAGGGGTGTCCAAACTTTTTTCAAAGAGGGCCAGATTTGAAGAAGTGAACATGCGTGAGGGCCGGGTCGGAGGCGGGCAGAGAGCACGGGGGACGCCGGCCTCACGGCGACCCGGGGGCAGGGCGAACCCGCAGCCGAGCGGGGGAGCGGGGCTGCAGACGTGCCCTACAGGGCAGGCTCTAGGACCGCGGAGGCCATGGGCGGCGGCGCGGCCGGAAGCAGCGCGCTGGGCGCGCCAGTTCAAAAGAGCGCCGGGGAGCCAGGAGAGGGGGAGGAAGCGGGGGCCGTATTAAATCGGAACACGGGCCGCAATTGGCCCGCGGGCCGGACTTTGGACATGCCTGGTTTAAACTATGCAACTCTTTAGAGTGAACATAGTAATGCTGATATAAATAAGCTTATACCAGTATACTACTTCTTGCATGGGAAGGGAAATAAACTATAATACTGTAGGGCATCTGTATAACTGCATCCACACGAGGGTTTGTACTAGTTTATCTCAATACTTAAACCTAAAAATAATCACATGGTAAAAAAAACTTTGTGTAGATCAGGCCTAAGTTGTGTTACCTTTTAATGAGACCCTATAAGGATCCCAAGGTATTTCTTTGTGGATGAAAATCAATTTCTAAAGCATAGATTTCCTTAATGTCTGCATATTGTTTGTTTGCAGCCTGCTTTGCTTCCTCCTTACTAAGAGTTGACAAAATGGGAAAACACACTAAGGGCCCAGATTTATAGTCTGTAATCATTCTGCCCTCAAGGTGATCATCTATTATTTTAAAGCTTCAAGACTGCACCTATGGATTAAGAGACTACTGTTAATCAATGACTGAATAAGTATAATTGCTCAAAATGTACAATTCTCAGTCTCCTAACCTGTGGGTATATTTCAGTTCCAGATGTCATTGATGGCAAGACGTTCACTGCAACCGTGGTGGGCTTAAACCCTTGGGTTGAATATGAATTCCGAGCAGTCGCAGCCAACCTCATTGGGATTGGGGAACCAAGCAGATCATCTGAGAAACGAAGAACTGAAGAGGCCCGTAAGTAGTAGAAGGGAAGCCCTATAAAGTCTTGTTAAAAGAGCACTTGACCATAAGCAATAGGTTACCTGGAACAAGGTTCATTATCTAGTTTCTCCTCTGCCTCATGGTATAATATTCACAAAGAACTCACATAAATAGAGTAGAATAGAATTAATACAAAAGTTAGGCTCAAGATGGGCTTTACTCCATGCTTTCTAGAAGTAAGTGACTAGGAATACTTCCTCCAGTTCCCTCATGTCTGTGTTGCCCAGCTGAGAAGAGGCATTAAAGGTTAATTCAGCTTCCTCTGAAGATATGATGGATCACTGATGTGAACCAGTCTAGCAATTCCTGTGTTAGCCCATATTTGTGTGGAGGAAACACTCTAGACAGTAGGGTGCAAGATGCTGACTTTTTTCTACAGGTCAGAGGTGAGTTTCTGATCTACTTCTTTCAGGGTATATCTATACCTAACAATCCTTTAGGCAGAGTATAGAGTACATACATTCCATACCCTCCCAGCAAGGGATGTAAATAGTAGTATATCCTGAGGCCCTGATTTGGTGAGTAAAGACACAACTGAACTTTTAAGGTATGTACCCTGCATAACAGGCTACATCTACATTGCATCCCTCTGCGCAAAAGCCTATGCAAATGAAGTATGGATTAGCATATTGCTATGCTTCATTTGCATAATTAATTAGGGGCATTTTTGTGCAAGAGGCTTTTGCGCAAAAAGGAGCCATCTACACAGCTCCTTTTTGTGCAAAAACCCCCTCTTGTGCAAAAAGGAACTGTGTAGATGGCTCCTTTTTGTGCAAAAGCCTCTTGCACAAAAACGGTCCCTAATTAATTATGACAATGAAGCATGACAATATGCTAATCCACACTTCATTTGCATAGGCTTTTGAGCAAGTGGGATGCAATGTAGACATAGCCATAGTGTACACAGCCAAGCAGTGCCTCCCCCAACAGGGTAACATCACAGAGAAGGGCTGTAGCCCATGGGTCAGATGCAGTTCACCAGGATTAGCCTTTGGCAGAGTGCCAGTATTTCATTTACCTGTGCATCTGCAGGTACGGATGTTTGCCGCTCGCATTGGCTGCAGATCACCATTGTTGGCCAATAGGAGCTATGGGAAGCAGTGTCCCGGTTTATGCCACTTCCTGCAGCTCCCATCGGCCAGAAATGGAAACCTATGGCCAACAGGAGCTACAAGAGGCCATAACTGCAGTCATGCAAGTAAATAAAGTGTCAATGGCCTGCCAAGGGCTAGCCCTGGCAAACCATATTCAGCTTGTTGCCCACCCCTGCTCTAGCAAGGAAAGGCTTGGATAGTGAGGAAGGCAGCAAAGAAAGGCTCTGACAGCTCACCACTGGCTGGAGCCTTTCCCCACTGCAGTGAAAGACTCCAGCTTTGTGAAAAGGCTCCCCCAACTAGGGCTTTTCCCTGTAGTGACACATCAGTGTGGTGGCAGCTTGCTTTTCACTGCAATATGTAGCTGCCCATACTCCGCACATTGCTTCTAGCAGTGTGCTGTGTTGGTGTTGCACAAGAGGCAGACTACAGAAAGTGCAGCACAGAAGCAGAGAAGAGTCTAAGGTAGCTTTTAAGTCATCCTGATGCCTTCTTGGTCCTGGGCCGTGCCATGTTCAAACGGCTCAGGGGACTCTGGCGGCATGGTGGTGAGGGATGACCAGGAAATATAAGTTCCTTTAGCAAAAAATATTATTGCAGTTTGTTTTCATTCTCATATAGAAAAAAAGTGAGACCTTTAGAATTTTTTTTCCACAAAAAACCCACAAGAGACAAAGCCATCCGTGCATGTCAGAAGAGCCAGCAGGCTGGTGGCTAGAGCACTCACCTCTGACATGACAGAACAAAGACGTGAACCTGAGTCTCCTGAATGCAAGGAGGCAAACTTCACCACTAGGCTTTTGGCTTCTGTGGGGTGCATTGGTCTTGAAATTCTTCTTGAAACCAATATGCTTCCATGAAACATTTGGGTGAGACAAAATAATATTTCCAGCAGAAATGCTTTTTGTAAAAAAAAAAAACCCTTTCAACCAGTCTTAGTTACTGCAACTTCTGTAAAATCTTTAAGCAGGATATGAGGTATCGCTTCAGGCAATTATCACCAGAATTATTCATTATGGCTATGTCTACACTACGGGTTTTGCCAGAAAAGGCTCACCCAAACCACCAAGGACAGGAGCTAGGACGGCTTAGGCCCTCCCTAGTCGTGGGGACAGAAGAGCTGCAGCCTTGGCCTGGCCCTTCTCGGTGGCTGAGGGGATAGCTGGGCCTGGTGCAACTTCGGCTTAGGCCTAGCCTGGCTTCACCCAGCTCCTCCCGGTGGCTGGCAGGAGGCTGCAGAGCTGGGGCTGGTTGGGAGAGGACCAAAGAGCTAGGGCCTGCCGGGGGGCAGGGGACCAAAAAGCCAGGCCGGCCTCGGAGCCAGGCCCTCCCCAGTGGCCAGGGGTCAGGGGGAAGAGCCAGGGCCGGAGCATAGCGAGCAGGGGGCACAGTCCCCTAGTGGAATATAAATATTTAAAACTAGCAGTTAGCACCTAGATACATGGATTATAAGTATGTTCTTTGTCCGTCTCATTTACAAAATATGAAAGGTATCTGTTTCCTGTGCTCAATTTGATAGTCAAGCTCATGGTCCCACTGCTAATTGTGCCTCTTTCTCTGAAAAATCAATCAAACTTCTAGCTTCAAAATTAATTGCTTGTGCTTTCACTGCTACCCACTGTAATATTTCTTTTACACAGTTCCTGAAGTCACCCCAGCTAACGTCAGTGGAGGCGGAGGGAGCAAGTCAGAGCTGGTCATTACCTGGGAGGTAAATTAAGTATAAACCAATGAGAGAAAGAATGCACACGATAAGAGAGATGCATCACATGTGCGATGTTGATGCTGACTGATTTTACCCCAGTGTATTCATTCTCCAACGGAGTTATGGCTGACTTACCCCTATGACTGTGGCACAATAAAGGTCCTTTATTGAAAAGGTTCCTGTCTTGGATTCAATTAAATGAAACTCGATCTGCTTTTCTATGCCCATGGAGACTCTCCAAGCAATGGCACTAATGCATATTTGATGTGCAAGGGGGTGGAGCTGACTATACATGGGCGGAGCAGGAAGCATACACTGTGTAGTAGTGAGCTCAGCTCCACAATAAACCCTGCGCAACAGCACGGATAATGCAGAACACAGATGGGGTAGGGCAGGGGGTGGATCCTTTTGTCCCCCACCTCAGGACCAAATTCAGAAAGGTGCTGATTTGCATGAGTTGTGGCTGATTTGCGCCAAGCTATTTTCACTGAATAACAGTAAATGATCTCGAGGTGGCTCTAATAAAGGTACGTCATACAGAACTTGCACTAGTAGTTGATTTCAGTCTATCACAAAGGCTAGAGAAGAAAACCCAGATAAAAAATCTTGAAGGAAATTGTGGGTGAAACATTGGTGGTTTTGTCTGCTCTTATTTTCATATTGTGGTACAATGGAGTGAGTTAAACTAGTCATCAACATCTCTAGATATGATACTGCCCATGCTCAATATTTCTTTTTCAGCACCTGGCAGCTATGAGTCACCAGGGGTATTTTTTAAGATTATTAAAAATTTGCAAATATGGTTTTGTCCTCAACATGTGGCTCAGTGTATTGAACTTTATCCTCCCTTGAACTAATTTGTTTCACTGAATCTCAATATATTTTTTAAGTCTTAGAGATGTTAAAAACATCAACCATGACTTTGAATCGTATTTTGTAAGTACCTCAGGGTATGTCTACACTAGCTCGGTAGTTTGAGGTAGGTAGGCAAATGAGGGCAACCGGAGTTGCAAATGAATCCCGGGATTTAAATATCCCGGGCTTCATTTGCATCTTTCCGGGTGCCACCATTTTTAAATCCCCCTTAGTCCGAACTCCGTGCCGCGGCTACACGCGGCACGGAGTAGGTAGTTCGAATTAGGATCTCTAATTCGAACTACCATTACTCCTCATTCTAATTCGAACTACCTACTCCGTGTCACATGTAGCTATGGACACAGAGTTCGGACTAAGGGGGATTTAAAAATGGCGGCGCCCGGGAATATGCAAATAAAACCCGGGATATTTAAATCCTGGGCTTCATTTGCAATTCTGGTTGCCCTCATTTGCCTACCTAGCTCGAACTACCGAGCTAGTGTAGACATACCCTTAGTTTTAAATGCCTCTAATCAACACACAGGCTATGTCTGGACTGCAGGCTTCTTTTGGAAGAATCTTTTTTGGAAGAGTGTGTCCACACTGCAAAAGTGCACTGAAAAAGAAATTTGCTTTTTTGAAAAATAGCATCTACACTGAATGAATGCTATCTCACATTTAAGCTGTGATGACTATGTATGGAGTGGCCACCAGGGCACCTGTGCTTTTTCTTCTTTTCTCTTCTTTCAAAAGATCTCTCTTCCCCATTGACACACACCTTTCTCCGAAAGAGCTCTTTCGCAAAAAGACTTCTTCCTCGTAAAAAGAGGATTTCCAGCGCCGGAAAAAACCCTCTATTCTTTCTATTTACTTTCAGAAGAATGCAATTACAGTGTGGACGTAACTCACATTTTGTCAGAAAAATGGCCATTTTTCCGACAAAACTCTGTAGTGTAGACATACCCACAGTCATTTTGTTTTCTTTTTTAATCCATGTAATGCTAATTACGGAACACTCACTCAAAGTTATTCCCCCCCTCCTGTCTCCCCCGTCCCCCTGGTATTTAGAACACACTTAAGACCTGTTGGCTTTAGTGAGACTAAAAGCACATAACTGAGTACAGTCCTATCCTCTGTTGGGTTGCTTTTATTGACTTGAGGCTTTTATTTCTTTTGTTTCTTTTCTAACTTTAAAAATATGAGTGTAGGCAATTGCAGCTGTTCAAGAGTGACCTGAAAGAGACATGTTTCTTCAGGACGTGGTACTTGATTTGCCTGCCTTTCTCCATCCCTTTTAGGACATGTCACTCTCTGCTACCTTACAGCTTTTAGTATACATCACATTATGCTCTTTGTCTGAAAACAAGTTTTGACCAGAAATTTGGAAACTGCACACAGTGTAGCCAGAAGAGCACACAGGCTAATGCTTTACATAGTTATAAAGTCGGAAATTTCAATAATAAATACATATGTTTTATGTCAGTTTATATAAACAATGGAGCCATATGGTAATTTAGATATGCAGATGGGAAATTAACTGGAGAAAAACAGGAGCAGCCCTGCAGATTTAATTTACCTGGAATAGGCTAAAGAAATAGGGGCTATTACCTTGCTGTAGACAGCCCTAAGATGGGTAAGCAGTTATGTGTGGAGGTAGAATGTAGCTCAGCATGTTTTATATGGGAATTTCTATAGGGCTTTGAGGAGCTGCCTTGCAGATTTTTGGCAATTAAGTGCTTTGGCCTAATTATTAGCTGCTCATATTGTAGAGCTCCAGTTGTTTTCTGTTTTGAGTATGCCATTCCGGGTGGGATTTTGTAAATGGAGCAAACCAACAATGGAAGAATGTGATATGGAGAAATAAATCCATGCAATACCTGACACCACTGATTATACTGTGTATGATCTGCCTTCTTTATAGACAGTGCCTGAAGAGTTACAGAACGGAGGTGGCTTTGGTTACGTGGTGGCATTCCGGCCCTTTGGCACAATAAGCTGGATGCAGACAGTAGTAGCCTCTTCTGATGCCTCCAGATATGTGTTTCGAAATGAGAGCTTGCCGCCATTCACTCCCTACGAAGTTAAAGTGGGAGTGTACAACAATAAAGGGGAAGGTTCTTTTAGCCCGGTGACAGTTGTCTATTCTGCAGAAGAAGGTACAGTATGTTGCGCGCTGCACTTCCTTCTCTTGCATTGTCTGATGCATGAGGTGTGCTGCTAACTGTCTTTGGAAGGATTTAATATCCACATTGACACCTCCGTGGATATCTAATCCTTGCTCTGATTGATGGTGAGTCACAACCAATTCTTTTGATGGTCATTAAAGTAACATTGATCACAGTGAAATCTTTTGCTATTAATGGGAACGTAACCAAGCTCTCTTCCGGTGAGAGGAGTTTGTAGTTAAACATAAAAATTAAACATAAAACATACATTGAGACCTTTTTTTTTTCTCCTCCCATCTGTACATACAGAACCCACCAGAGCACCGACCAATGTCTTTGCCAAAAGCCTTTCTGCTTCAGACATTGAAGTTTATTGGGCCTCTCCACATGAGACTCAGAGTAAAGGAAGAATACAGGGTTATGAGGTATGTGATATCAGACTGGAACAGACTTAATATAGTTCAATGAGAAGATCATAGCAATATATAATTGAAGGTTGCTCAAACACTGCTTCTTACATGTGCATCTTCTGGCTGGTGATGAACTAAAGCAGCCCTTGCTCACCTCTTTTTCCCTGCACACTGGAATGTCTTTTTTGAAAGTACAGCCAGAGGTGAAAGTAAGTGGGTGCACCCTGGAGCACAACTCTGGCAAAAGCTGACTGATCTGCGGCAAAAGCCAGCAGGGAGCTATTTAAAGAACTGGTAGAGTCCTGCATTGCAGTAGGACAGTACCTATAAGAAATTTTAAGTTACTTTCACCACTGAGTACAATAAATATATATATATAATCCATGGTGAAAATGGGTATCAGGTTATTGCAGTGAGGGGTATCTAGCATCCCTAAGGATTTGTGAAGGCCAGAGTAGTCCACAGTGAGTGAGTAAGTGCCATTGTGTGGACAACTGTAAATTGTTTCATTTTCTCTACTTCAGAGTCCACTGCTGGTAAGAAGCACTGGCCTGTGCATTTATGAACAGAAATCAGCATTTCCAGGTGTGGTCTTCTGTAAGACTGAGACAATGGCATCATTTACAGAGTGGAGCAGGGAACATTGTCTTCATAGGAGTCTCACTTCCAGGATGGTGAATGGCCCATTTGACGGTAGTTAAGGGCAAGTTAACCATAGAGATAAATTTTACATGATCAGTCTCGGGATTTCACTGGCTGCAGTTCCATCACTATGAAGAATTAAGGCATGGATAGGCTCAATTACACTGAGTTCAGGAGGTAAATGTACATATTCTTGTGGTTTTTTTCAGGTTAGATGTTGGAGACATGAAGATAAGGAAGAAAATGCTAGAAAAATCAGGACTATTGGTAATCGAACATCTACAAAAGTCACTAATTTGAAAGGCAATGCACTATATCATTTAGCTGTCAAGGCATACAACACTGCAGGGTTGGGACCCTCCAGTGCCACCGTCAATGTCACGACCAAAAAGCCACGTGAGTATCCATTATGCTCATGGTCTGACATCAGGATGCCAACATGCACTTTCCTTGCTGGCAATTTCAAAGTCTCTCTTAGTTTGAAGGTGCTATGAGATTCTTCTTCTAGCTCTATTCCTCCTGCAAGAGCTTCTTAGGGTTGTTGTCAGTGTTCCCTCTAAGCTGCAGGGCAACACAGCTTCACAGGTGATTAATCAGCCCACCCTGTCAGTTAGCTCCATGCATGGAGCCCCAAACCTCTGACTGGGTGGAGCTGATTAATCACCTGTGTAGCTGTGTTGTCACCCAGATTAGAGGGAACACTGGTTGTTGTGGTTTGTTTTGTCGGGGGTTTTTTTTAAACAACTCTTCGGAAATCATTGCTGTACAGGAAACAGCATCATTCAAGGTGCCTATCTCTTCTGGTCATAGTCACATCAAGGAACTGAATCCCTTTACATTGCCACTTAACAATATAATACTTTGTATATTTTAATATAGCACCAAGTCAGCCCCCTGGAAACATCATATGGAATTCATCCGACTCCAAGATTATACTGAACTGGGATCAAGTAAAAGCACTGGATAATGAATCGGAAGTGAAAGGATACAAAGTGGGTAACTTCTTAGCCCAGGCACTTCAGTGTTGTTATTTATCTGTCTTTTCTGCCTCTTGACACTGCTCATCAGATCAACTCATCAGATTCAAATCCTCTGGGATTTTCACATCCAGTTTTGGGTTAAAATGACTTTATCCATGAATGCAGAGCTGAGTTTAGAATAAAATCAGAATTCAAGAGGAGGGTGAAAATACATCCAGTATTGGCTAGAACAGTCCCATTTTTAAGCCCTGTCCCAATCCTCAGTTGACAAAAGAAGTTGCCAACTAGGAGACCTTCAGCTTCCTCTCAGGATGACCTTTCCCTGCACCTGCCCCCATGTCTTACTTCTTCCCAGTCTATATAGTCACTGGCTCATCAGGCTGCAGGAGACAATCCTCAGGCCTTTTCATCAGCCCTACTCTGTTCTCTTTAGTTGGATCTGACAGGCCAGGGGCTAATTATGTGCTCTTGCACCAGAACTCTGTTACCCTGGGCAAAACTCCATAATCCCTCAAAAATTCATTCCAAAACCCAGGCAAATCTCAACCATTTGGGCCAAGTTTTAATCCACATTGTTGGGTTTAAAATTCAAACCAAAAGTCAGCCTGAAATGGTAGAAGAGAGGTCCTCACATCTAACAGGGTGGCTTTTTTTGTCGTTCTCTTTTTCTGTTGTGTTACAATTGCATAGTCACATCATTGCACTTACATGCAGAGAGCAAAACTGCTGCTTCCTTTTTTTTCTGGAAATATGCCTATTTTGTGACAGGATTGAATACATAAGTTGAATTTCCAGATCTTAGGAGGACAGAAGTTAAATCAAAGAATCAATTTATTCTGTAGAGTTGCTTCTGACGCTGTATCAAATACCGCCAGTCCAGTTTTCTGAAGCACTATACTAAGAGATTTGACATCTCTAAATAAGCGAAAGGATTTATTTTAGTTTGATCCTTAGTAAGGACTAAAATAATGCTGAATTTGATGTCTCTGGTGCCCAGAATTGAGAAAGGAGGCTTAGGAGTCTTTCTAATTTAAGGAAAATCATATTCAGCTCCTTGCATTTATCAGGTATAAATTAAGGTGTCCTAATACTAGATTGAAGGAGGAGGGAGGTATCACAGTGATTTTGAATAATGTTCATATGTACCTGGTTAGCACTGGGAATGGAAGGGTGATTTATTCCTGGCTCATCTGATTACAAGTCAAAGCAGAATCACCTTTGTTTTTTATCTTCCTGTAGAAGTGCTCTCCCCTGCTCCTCCTAACAAAGCAGTGAATAAAGAGCACAGCAGCACCTGTTCAGTACTGTTTCTGAGGGCTGACCCACAAATTAGATTGCACTTTTGAAACACCAGCATGGCTAGAGCTAGCTGTGCTATAGAGCTTCTGAAATTGCTCCAGCTGATGGGAAAATGAAGTTTAATCAAGCTGAGAGGCAGAGGTGCTCTGCCAATTACAAGGGCCTCCGCTGAGTGTCATGTGGCTTTATGACAGGGCCACATATCAGAATGCCAACAAGAGCCGCGTTCAGCATGCTCCTGCTGTAGTTATCCCTCAATGCCCAGTGGTTTCACATCAGCACAAAGTGAAGAATTCACAAGTGTGGTTTCCTAAGGCTCCCGTCAGGTTCAGACCAACACATCTATGAAATCTGCCATAACAACAGAGACAATTCTGTGTGGCTCAAGGAAGGAAAAGATCAATAGTAAATATGCAGACCATTATGGAGATGATCCTTTCAGCTATTTCTTTTTTCTCTCTCTCCCCCTTTCCCTCCATTTTCCACTGCCCCTCTTCAATGTCTTGTAGGTTTTATACAGATGGAACAGACAGAGTAGCACATCTGTAATTGAAACAAATAAAACATCTGTGGAGCTTTCTTTGCCTTTTAATGAAGATTACATCATAGAAATAAAGCCATTTAGTGACGGAGGCGATGGTAGCAGCAGTGAGCAAATACGAATTCCAAAGATATCAAGTAAGATTGTTGTCATTGTGAGGGTTTATGCTTGTGTTTCCAGACCACAACGCGTGAATTCTTCATGCATTTTCAGATGGCATCCCATTTTTTGCACACTGAAATTGAGCTCCTGGCAGAGTCATCTTTATCTGTACACAGAATACCCACCCACTTCTTCCTATCCTTGTTCTGTGGCTCTACTTCCTCCAGAGAGGATATAGGGTGTGTCTAGACTACAGAGTTTTGTCGACAAAACTGGACTTTTGTCGACAAAACTATACCTGCGTCTACACTACCGCTGAGTTCTGTTGACATAACGTCGACAGAACTCAGCAGTTTTGTCGACGCTGGTAAACCTCATTTTACGAGGCATAACACCTTCTGTCAACAGAGTTCTGTCGACAGGAGGTGTTATTGCATGTAGGGTTGTGTCTAGACTACAGGGTTTTGTCGACAAAGCAAGCTGCTTTGTCGACAGAACTGAATGTAGTCTAGACGCTCTTTGTCGACAGAAGCTTTGTCGACAGTATCTGTCGACAAAACTTCTGACAAAACCATGTAGTCTAGACGTACCCATAGTTAACTTAAAAGTGAAAAAAGCCTGCCAGACCTATCAGCAGAATATTAAACCCATGAAAGAGCCATTCAAGTGGTAATCATTTGATAGCCACTTGCCAACCCCAGGTATATGCAGTCCATTTCTGAATGTACTGTGTTAGTCAACAGGACCTTAGATTAACGTTTGCTTTAAAAATATTTCATTGGTATGTTCATGAATATTATAAAACCACATCTCTGAGAAACTATCCTCCTCCCCTGGGCTGCCTTTGACCCAGAGACTCCTGTTTAATAGTACTATGTAGGACCCTATAAATCTTAAGGATGTCCCTGGCTGTGTGTGCCATTTCGCATATGCAGAATACTTTGTTGCAGCTACAAAAAGTGGTTGCAAACTGGAGCATTCAATCATAGAATCATAGGACTGGAAGGAACTTTCAGAGACCATTATAAAGGTAGGTTACAAATTTGCGCATGTATGTAGATAGTTATGCTGGGAAACAACAAACCACAGATGAGATTGAGCTCCCAAAGCTTTGTGTTAACCCATCCTCAAGAATAAACTACATTCAACAGCAGAGTAAAAAGAGTTCTATTTTACTGAGCATTTCTAGACCAACACTCTCATGGGGTTTTTTCATTTGTCATTACAGGTTTTGATATCAGTATATTGTATCTGTGGTTTTGGTGCAATCTGACCACAAAGTGTACAGTGTGATGTGCAAAAACCATATTAATTTATACTGTTACCGTATACCAATACTTCAGTGTATGGTGGGTGCATATTTACTTATTTAGGGAAATGATGCTTTATCTCCATAGAGAGGAGCTGCTATTACATTGCATTGGTCTTATAAGATGTATCCCACCTTCCCAAGGGATTTCCACAAGCAATGTTAAAGCTGACAAACAGATTTAATCAGGTGGATGCGGGGGAGATTGTGGCCAAGGGCCAATCCTGCCATCCTTACTCTATCAAAACTCCACTGCAATAAGGATGGCAGGGTTTGACACACGCAATGGGAAAGTCAGAAGAGCCCCAATCCACTTGAGCTGGTAAAATACTCCAAGCAGGATTCGAACTGATGGAGCAAGACACTGAGCTGCAAGTTTAGGGACGTGTTGCTAGGCTGATTGTTTTTGCAGTTTCTGCAAGGCTGACCTTGGCATAAATTTGTCAGAGGGAAAAGCAAAGCAGAGGGTGTTTATGCATGTTCCGAAGGGAATTTTTAGGGCCATGTCACTTTCATTTGAGTATGTTCGGATTTAACTCCAGATTGATGGTTTTACTGGGAATCTTTTAATATTTCTCAGCACTCTGGATGCTATACTCATACACAGCCATTCTAAGGGACTGTTTTGCCCTTATGTACAGAATAATTCCACTGAAGTCAGTAGTGTTGCAAAAAAGGCAAACAGCATTCTGGGATGTATTAACAGGAATGTTGTAAGCAAGATATAAGTAATTTTTCCACTCTACTCTTCACTGATTAGGCTGCAACTGGAGTATTGTGTTCAGTTCTAGGTGCTACATTTTAAGAAAGATGTGAACAAGTTGGAGAAGGTCCAGAGAAGAGCAAAAAATGATTAAAGGTCTAAAAAACATGACCTATGAAGGAAGATTGAAAGAGTTGGGTTTGCTTAGTCTGGTAAAGAGAAGATTGAGAGGGGACATGATAACATTTTTCAAATACCTAAAAAGTTGTTAGAAGGAGGATAGAGAAAAATGATTTTCTTTAATCTTTGATGATAGGACAAGAAGCAATGGGCTTAAATTGTAGCATGGAAGATTTAAGCTGGACATTAGGAAAAATTTCCTGTCAGGGTGGTTAAGCACTGGACTAAATTGCCTAGTGGGGGTTGTGGAATCTCCATTCCTGGAGATTTTTAAGAACAGGTTAGACAAACACCTGTCAGGCTTGATCTAGATGGTGCGACTGGACTTGACCGCTTAAGGTTCCTTCTAGTTCTTTTCTATGATCCTATGATTCCATGAAAAAAGTAGGTCCCACTAAACAAACTGAATCTAGAAATGGAGAAGCAGATGGTTATGTACAAGAAATACTTGCAGTACTTGCAGTATTTCATGAAGGCTGCTATAAAATTCATAGGCCAATTTGCAGTTTGGAGAAACTTTGCAGGATCATCTGAACTCTTGGGTCCAAAGACAAACTAACTTTGAACTGACCTTAGGAGATTACATCCTCCTCATTTGTGATTTGTTACCCATTTAGCTGAAAAAATGCATTTTGGACTCATTGTGGCAGGTTTAATGGCTACAGACTGAATCCTGTTCTCATTATTTCTTTTTCTCTCTCTCTTCTTTTCTCAGATGCATATGCGAGAGGATCTGGTACCTCTACTTCAAATGCGTGTACATTGTCAGCCATCAGCACAATAATGATATCCCTCACAGCTAGATCCAGTTTATGACAAAAATTGCATAAAGGACTTCCTGTTTATAATATAAGCAACATTTAGCTAGTTGTTTTGAAGACACCCAGTACTAAGTAATATTGTTGTTCAAGTACATCTTACTACTGGAAAAAATGTTTTATGCTTCTTTAGGAATGGCATTATACAGTACTTCCTCAAAGCAAATATAGCTTTGTTTGAAGTTTCCTTGGAAACTCTGCAATGCACTGAAAACATCTGTAATACGATGTTACCAAAGCAGTTTACATATGTCCTTATATGCATATTTTTTATTATATATTTAGTGTTTTATAGAATTTTTTAAAGTTAACATATGATGTAGATATTAATTTTTCCTCTGCTATAAAATGCTACAGACAACACTATCATAAAAAAATATGGTTTGGAATTTTTTCCTTTAGGATTAAGGGTTCAAAGTTGTTGTCAGTAAATTGGTTACAAATTTAATGTACAGTTTTGCAAAGGAATACATTGGGAAAACTGTTTAGGATTTGATTCGTAACTCAAGGCAGCTGTATTTAAATATAAGTTATATGGTTCCTATGTTAAATCAAGTGCTTAAGATATTTTTCATTTTGGATCAGCTGAGCAAGCAAGATAAAATTGAGATAACTTTCAAGAACAGCTACAAACTTCAAAAATGAACATACAAATTTATGTTCTAAGCCAATAATTTAATTGCAGATTAAACTTTCATTTTACTGTATTTAAGTGGTTTTGTTTTTATCACAATTAACATTAAATTGGACATTATAGTTGACATTACTTAGTCATAATCTCTTCCTATAATAACATAACCAAAAGTTACTGGAGCAAAAGAAAGACCAGATTCTGATCTTAGTTACCTTGGTATAAATCCAAAGTAATGCTAGTTTAAATAAATTATTTTTGGGGGGATTTACACCAAGGAAATTATAATCATAATATGCATGTCTTTAAGATTTAAAACTAAATCTGGCTTCCACTGTCTGAATATGTATTTCTTTTCAGAGTACATTTTACATGTAATTCATAAATCTTCATAATTTAATTACAAAATAATGTTTGCTTATATTAATGAGTCTTTTAAGTGTAGGTCATAAACTTAATCTGCAAATGCATCACATTTCTAGTGAATAACTCTCTAAAGTACATTTTTTTCATGTGTATGGTCCCTCAATAGTTCTGTGCTAAGAAGTCTTTGTTTCTTTAGAGACTCTTCATACAAATGTTAGAATCATATTGGAAAATGACAATACCAACATCAAAATAACTCTTCTTGAGTAAAGGACTGTTTGTTACTATGGGATAATTTTGTAAGTGCGCTCAGATGGACTGATGCTAGTAAAAAGGCAATGGAATTTTCTATAAAAATTTTCAAGTTTAAATGCGCTGCGGTGGTTTATTTTTTTTCCTGATAGCTTGAATATGCCTGTAACTTGTCTTTTTTGCTTACAAAATAATACAAGTTAACTTTTAAACTTCTAAATATATTTATTCGGTAACTCATAATTGGGATTCCACTTGTGTAAAAGGCAGGGGTGTTAACCAGAGAAATATTGTCAGTATTTCAAGCTGTGTTCCTTTCTTAGTTTGATATGGTTACTTCTATGTAAACACAAAAACAAAAAAAAACACACAAAAACAAGAAAATAAAGAAAAAAGCCTATGTAGTTTTCTCCCCCCGTGTAAATGATATTTATCAGTGATCTAGCAGATGTAATCTTTTTTTAAAGGTATTGGTAATAAATATTCTGTCATTTGTAAAGATACTTGTCTTTCAGGATCATTTTTCCTAAATACCCGACTGTAATTTGAGACAAACTTCAGCATTACTGTACTGGTTATCTTGGATTGCTAGTTATTAGAAAGTGGAATGGGCCTTTGCAGTCCATCCCAGAATTATGGAGGACAGAGAAATCCAAGTACATGAAGTTTCTTATTTTGCTTCCTCCACTATAAAAAAGACTATCTAATGAATTTTGAATGATTCCAAAATCTTATATAGCTCTTTGACCTTTCAAAGTTTATGGGAACTAATATCAGAGGCCATGTCTACACTATGCAGAAGAATGATGCTGCTGCGATTGATCATCCAGGATTCGATTTAGCAGGTCTAGTGAAGACCCGCAAATTCAAACTCACCTCTAGTCAGCACCGGTAATCCTATTTCCATCGATCTCCTGCTGTGTGGATGGCAATTTAAGATATATGGACTCCAGCTATGTAATCAACATAGCAGGAGTTGCGTATCTTAAGTCGCGTATCTTCCGCTCCAGTGTAGATCAGACCAGATCAACACTGACAGAGAATCTCAGCATCTCATTTAGATATGGAAAAAAGAAACTGATGAAATGTTTATTTTCACAGATCCACTGAAAACTTATAATAGTTAAGGAGGAAGAACATAAGCTACAAAAATTAAGCCACAGGCTTGGCAGATAGGAAGGAACTGCAGTCAAAACAAGTACACATGTCCAATTTGCTGAGAATGTTTGCCAATAGAGTAAATACAGCCCAGAGGCAGGGGACCTTGCTTCTGAAACCTATGGGAATATTAATTCTGTACATAAGGATATAGAATCTTTATCAAGATTCTTGCTGGCTCTTGGGGTCATTGCTAAAATTTTCTTCTGAATGTTCGTCCAATTCTAAATAATACACAATTTCAATTAATCTGTACCTGGAAGGCTGCTGCTTTGTGTTTTACAATGTGCATCAGGGTAGTCAATAGGCAGGCTCCGGGCCAGATCCAGACCACCAGATGCTTTTGAACAGAGACCAAAATCTTTTTATTTACTTATTATTTTCATAATCTTTTATTATTTTTTTCTGAAGTCTGGACCTTGACTTGACTATATCTTGCCAAAGAAAGAAAGAAAGACTACCCCTGAATTTGATGCTTAGGATATCAAGAATTTATATATATCACTATTAATATGGTAAGGGTTCACCTTGATTCAACCATATCTTCAATATCTAGTATTATAGTTTGTTGGTGCTGCTGGATTTAGGGTAATGAAGATGGCATTAAAATCGTGAGTTGGCTCTTACACAGCCCATAATGTGGCTTCATAAACTCAGTGTTCTGCTTGCAAATATGTTCTGGATCTGCTCTCACTAGATGCTATGTGTTCAATTGATCAGCAAACACACACTTTTCAAAAGGGTGTGGAGGGGAGCTCATTCAGTCTTTATGGGTACTTAAGAGTCATTGCTGAATGGACCAACCAAGAGCTCCACGCTGTGCAAGCAAAGGTGCAAGATTTCCAGACAGCTCTTCCCAGTTTGATGCTCTCTGGTTCAGCACCTCAACCAACAGAGCTCTTCTTACTGACTTCAACTCTCTCCGCAAACAAACAAGAAAGGGGAAATTGACATCCACAAAGCTTCTCTCCTTCACATATTTCAGCAGAATGGTGTGCTGTGTGTATACCTTGCTGCATTACATTTCTAGCATTGAATTTCAGGTGCACCAGTGTGTGAAGGTGATAGGATTATAGCACTCCAATGATGCTGTACTTTTTCAAAGGAACCAATCTCTATTTTGGGATCAAGGGAGCTTAAAAATCAAATGACCTGGTAGCATAACTCAATTTTAAATTTGCAATATTCAATCACACTAAGAATGGAGTGGTAGGCATTTTCCATGCTGACTCCAGCTGATGTTCTCTCAAACATTTGTGTTTATATGTAATGAATATATTGGGTTTGTGTGTCCCTATTAAAGACCAAATTTGCAAGAAGTATTCACTGGGTGCCTAGCACTAACATACTGAACCAATTTGTAGCTCAGATCTAAAAACACTGGTATAAACAGGCCCAAATTTTGTTTCAGCACAGCTGTGGCCAGCCTGACAGTGATAAATCTGGCCCATCAGCTCTGCCGTGTTACACTGTAAAGAGGAAATAATCATGAAACGGTGATAGTGCAATTAACCATGAGTGTTATCACTATATCAGAAACTTTTCAGTGACTAAAATTGCTGTCTTGTGGCTTAAATTGGTAAATGACAGTAAGGACTGACTTACTAGAGTGTTGTTTTATTGTTCTTTTTAAATAAATGGCTAGTCCCTTTAAGCCATAAGCAAAGCTTCCCAATATACATCAACATGAGAGAGGCAGTATTGTGATATCACCAACAGCAAACACAAAGGCCTACAGCCTTTGCTGGTAAAGTTAATGGTGCTAAGTTGATTTATACCTGCTTAGAATCTCATCCCATTAAAAGTATGAACCCAATATAAATCTGTGCTGTTGGCAATAAAAGGTGCTGTAAAGAGGAAAAAAAACAGTGATTGCCTTGAAAAATACGTTTTTCCTATTATCAGATACACAAAAACATTTTGTCTTCAAAAGGAAATTTACATCTTGAACATTTTTGGCCGTGTAATAATAATAATTATCTCTTCCATACTTCTGTTTATCTGCAATTCTCAATGTGCTTTATAAGGGCATGTGAAATCATGATGCCCTTTTTACAGAGGGGGAAATTGAGGCACAGGGAGGCAAAGTGACATGCCCAAGGTCACACAGATAGGAATAAAACATAGGCATCTTGATTCTCAGTCCAATGCCTTTTACAGTGATCAAACTGTCTCTTATTCCTGGATTTCATTTCAATTATATTTGCAATTCACCTGATCAGACTTTATTTCTAGAATCTTAATGGAAATTGTGGGGATTAGACAAGACAACAACCCTCTGGATTTCAGAAGAGTGTATAAGCATAGATACATCGTATTGCCCATCTGTGGGAAGAACATACACATCTAAGGGACGTCTACACTTGCACCCTACTTTGAACTGGGGATGCAAATGTAGGTGAATGAAATTGCTAATGAAGCGGGGATTTAAATATCCCGCGCTTCATTAGCATGATCTCGCCGGCGTGTTACTCTGCTCAACAGCTGTTTCGAAAGGGAAAGTGCACGCCGGGATGCGTTAGTTGAAACCAAACCCCTTGGTTTGAACTAACATTACTCCTAATTTTTTGAGGAGTAACATTAGTTCGAACCAAGGGGTTCAATTGGAACATTTGCATTCCTAGTTCGAACTAGGATGCAAGTGTAGACGTACCGTTAGATACCAGACTCTCAACAGTTTGTTGCAGGATATATTGTTGTCATGTTATATTTAAGTGGGCTAGATTAGGCATAATATCTTACACCACAACTAGTGTTGCAAGTAAGGTTTTTGCAATCTGGTCCTTCTTGAGTAAGCAAGTCATTTCTAGAAGAACTAAGAAACTAAAGCATTATTTCTGAAAATCTATACACGTTCTTGCATGTTTTCGGCAAATCTTCACAAATGTTTGTGTAATTTCATCATGCACCATCCATCTGCCTCATGCCAATAACACTAAAACTTGAAGGATTGTCTTTCATTTTTATTTGAGACGTTTATCAGAAACACAAATATTTGTCCTGGTATGCCAGCCAAATATACCTGTCTTTTATGTTTGATCAAATTTTTTTGGCTACATCACTAGCGTGGCTGATACATTCTGCGCATTCCAGACAGTTTCTAATCACTAAACCTACAGTAATACAATGCAAAAATTATTTAAATATACTGCATAATCCCTGCTGTAGCTTTCTGTTAAAAAGAGCTTAAAGTAGAGAATTAGATTTAACATTCTAATATAATAGAATCCTAGATGGCATAAATCAAATGAAGTACATCCATAGTAAATGCATTCTCCTCTGTTCTTATTGTAAGCTTCTGTTGCTGTAACACGCTTTGTTTTTAGGCTATTGTAGCTCGGCTCCTCAGATCCATTAAAACCACCTGAAGGGAGATTTTTAGGCACAAAAATTCAAGAGAGTCATGGCAATTTATACCAGTTTGGGAACTTGCTAATTAAATGAAAAGTAAGTCACATATTTGTAGAGCCCTGCCACTCCGTGGATATCCGCTTCAGACCAGGTTTGTGAAGAGTGGAGCAGATGCAGATACAACCAGTCAGGGCTGACTCCTCAGTGGCAGCTGGGTCAGAGCATCTGGCTCAGGCAGCCTGAGGAGGGGCGGGGGGAAGGTGCACAGGGGCAGTCAGTTGGCTGGGTCTGTGGGGCAGTTAAGAGTCAATGGTGGTCTAGCACCCATTCTCTGCACTGCTTCCCAAGCAGTGGCTCAGGACTCTCAGGAAGCATTAACATGTCCCCCCATAAGGGTTCAGTCCCACAGTGCTGGCTGCACTCACGGCCCAGCAACTCATGGACAGTAGAGCCCACCCCAACTGCAGGAGTTGGAGCAGCACCTACATGAAAGCTGTCTCATCCATTGGATGAATCAGGGCAGCCACCCCAGGCCCTGTGCTTTTGGGAGCCCACCGGTGGCCGCCCCAACTGTCCTATGGACGGGAGGGATCCGGTGGATTATGGAGGCCTGGCACAGAGCCATAGCAGTGGCCTCCCCACCATGCAGGCAACAGCAGCTGAAGCAGTCTGGCAGACTGCTTCACGCTGCCCTCTCAGTCCGTTGTGCTCAGCTTCTCCATGGCGGGGAAACCAAAGCGCTCCAGCCCCAGGGTGCTCCACTTCCTGACTGTAGAGAAGTGTGGTGGAGTGGGCCAGGAGAGAGAAGTACAGAGCAGGCTGCCAGACTGCTCCAGTTCACCTATGTGGTGAGCATAGGGGGAGGACCCCTGCTGTCCCACCACACCAGGCTCCCTTAATCCCCTGGGCTGTGTTGCTCGGGGGAGGGGATTAGGGGGCAGCGCAGGGACAGGGTTTGTGGAAGGGGTGGAGTGGGGGCAAGGCCTGTGGCAGAGGGGTTTCCCCAGGCCTTGCACCTTCTTTGGGATGACTCTTCCCCCACCCCTCTGCCTCACTGTGATACAACACGTGCTACTGCTGTCAGGTGCCATTATTCGCAAGCCCACGGGAGGTAACCCACACACCTACTGGGTTTGGCTCTCAGTCCCATGTAGGTGGCATTTAGACCACTTACAGAGAGAGAGAGAAACAATGAGTTTCTTGTACACCCTTAGCTGAGTGGCAGCTGGGTTTTAGCTCAAGTGGTAGAGACTCTCCAAGGTTCCAAGTTCAGTTTCTCCTGTTGACATTACACCGCATGCAGTGTGACACCCATAGCCCTTCACTCCATGCTATCTCTTCTCCTCAAGATCCATGTCACCCTTTACCCCCAAGTCCCACTCTTGCACTGCCTCTTCCTTGAAAGACCTCACATCTCTCTTCCTTACCTCCTCCCCCAAAGGCAGTTTGCTGCTGCAGGTGCAGATAGAGGTAAAAGATGGCTAGAGGATGACCATTTGATCCTGGTATATGCAGATCAGATAAGGATCCACATTTTTTGTAACCAACGCAGGGCTTTCCCTATTTAACACCTGCCCTGGATGGTGGCGGCATTAACTTCCTGATAGTATTAGGAAAAAGCTCTGCACAAGTTGCCACACCTCAAGCTCAAAAGCAAAACAAGTTCCAAAACAAAGTTGCCTGTTTGGTTCTGAGATGCAGTTTTATTTCACAGCGTGCTCTGTGGATTACTCAAAACGAGCATATAAATTGTAAGGGAGGCAAAAAGATTAAAATAAAAGGTTACTAAAAAGAAGGCACTTGTGGCTCAGAGTTTACAAACATTTATAATTGCAAGTTAAGATGACCAAAATGAGCCTTATCTACCATTATCCTACACTCTGCTTAGCAGGGATATGAAAGGTTAACCAGTAACCTGTAGAGGCTGGAGCAGCTCTCCACCTGCTGTGGGCAGGGAGTTGTGGACAGGGGATGCTCTGGACATCCAGAGCAGCCCCTGGCTGCAGCCGTCCCAGGGGCCGCATAGACAGGGGCTGTGCTGGTGTGCACCACACACCCCTTTAATCAGTTAACCAGTTAAACATAATGATTACCCAGTTAATCAATTAAACAGGATTTTACATCCCTACTGCTTAGTCAATAACAGCAGTGCAAAAAGCATGCAAATACAAAGGTTTACCCCGGTTTTGCACTATTGTAACTAACTGTACAAGCCTGCAATGGGACACCATAGCCCTTCACCCCATGTCATCTCTTCTCCTCAAGACCCATGTCACCCCTTACCCTTATGCACAGGGTAGCGGAGACTCAAGCCCTGATGTTTGGACTCTGGTTAACTACTATGAAACTAAGATCTTCCTATCTATATCTCACACACCATTAAAGCAGTTCTAATAGCCAAAACAAAAACAAAAGAAGGAAAAAAGCCATATTTAAATTAAATCTCTGAGTACAGTTTTGCTAATTAGGTAGTTAGGAAGTTCCCTTATCCATAAGTTGTTAGTATTTGCTTATACTTCTGTTGATATTTTACAGATATTAAAACACAGCTTTTGCAAACTGAGAATCTTACAACTTAAGATGAGTTCAACAGAGAGAGGCTGCTGGGGGAATTAGTATTAAAAAGGGGAAAGCTGGCGGGATAATGGAGTTCATAGTACCAGGTATCAGGGCAGCCAAAGTGACAAAGGGGGAACCCTCAGAATGTCCCTCTGACATGTATATGGGCCAAACTGGACAGTCTCTATGACAAAGAATGGACACAAATCAGATAGTCAAAATGGTAACACACATAAACCTGTAGGGGAACATTTTAACCTACCTGGGCACTCATTAATGGACTTAAAAATAGCCATTCTTCTACAAAGTAATTTCACAAGCCAACTACAGAGAGAGAATGCAGAATTGACTTTCATATGCAAATTCGACACCTTCTCACTTGGTTTGAATAAAGACTTGAACAGGTTAATACATTATAACACCAGCTTTCTTTACATTCAACACCCTATTGACATCAAAAGCTAAGTATGGGACATTTCCAGCCCATCAATTAGCCTGGTACTACAATTGACAGGTATTTTTCCCCCTCGCCCTTCTTATTCTGACAATTCTCCTCCCCCCTTTTTTTCCCCACTCAAGATCATCTCATCTAAAGGAGTGGGTTTTGCCCACTAAAGCTCATGGACACGCATATATTTTTGTTAGTCTGTAAAGCTAAGTCTAGACAGTGGCACTATTTCAAGATACCAGAAGTATCCCAAAATAGCTATTCTGTGTCTTTAAACACACCTGTAATTTTGAAATAAATTGAAAAATAGTGGGCGTACTTTCCTGGCATCCCTGTAGCCCTTGTTACACAGAGGTTAAGGGACATTTTGGAATAGCGCTATTGAAAAATAGTGAGCGTACTTTCCTGGTATCCCTGTAGCCCTTGTTACACAGGGGTTAAGGGACATTTTGGAATAGCGCTTTATTTCAAAATTTGGTGCTGTGTAGATCATGCCAAATTTTGAAAAAAGCTATTTCGAATTTAGATCAAAATAAGATACTCAATTTGAGCAATGCACGGTGCGATGTAGATGCACCTAAGATACCACAGGACTACTTGGTTTTAAAGTTACAGGCTAACCCAGCTACCCCTCTGGGACGTTTAAAAGTGACAAAGGAACCATCATATTGAGTTCCATTTTATATCATGAGGGTTGTTTGTATGGGAAAAGGTGAGTTTAAAAGGGGGAGTAGAAGGAAAAGGATTTGCGCAGATAGAACCATTACCTCTTGAAAAAGTTAATTCACTGTATTTGATTTTTGAGCCTTTCTGACCATGTCCTTCCTTTGCTCAGAAAGAGCAGACTCAAATACGGTTTGTACCAGTGTGATAACTCCCTATCTCCTTCCTTAGAACATAGGGTCCTAGGAAGAAAATATTCCAGTAATCAGAGAACCAACCCCAATGGAAACCAATTTTCCAGCCCACTCTTATAGAACTGGTTCCATCTGGCCAATTTCAGCTCCGATATAACTAGAGGCAGCTTCACTGAGGTTAGTGGTCTTCTGTCTCATAGCTGCCAAGCAGAAGGTCTTTGGCTCTCGTGGAAATGAATATATTTTGTCATGCTTTGATGATAGATGCTTACAGAACAATCACTTTTCCTCTTAAAAAGTGACATATTTGTATGTGCTAGCTTGTAATTAAGCAATTGTATCTCTTAGAAGCAACACATTTTTCTATCTTTGAAGCGCTGATGAAGTATGACATGAAGGTTCATCCAATCTAAGCTGTTGTCACTTACAGTAACACTTCTGTAAGTTTCAAGATCATGGATGGATTAATATTTTAGATCACAGAATCCTCAAGGACATCAAAATAAAGGTCTTCACTATAACTTCCGAAATCTTCAGGACAGCTTCCAGTTTCTGTTTCAGTTTCACTGGTGCAAATACGTGCTCTCTGAAACACAAAGACTGCTTATAGTATCCAACCTGATAGGTGAAAAATGTTTCCCAGATACCATTCATTATGAATATCGAACCATTACACCATACTCCTTACCAACTTCCCTCTTTTGTTCAAAGTTCACTATGATTTAAAAAACATACACTTACAAAATATAGAATTTTGCTTGAGATTTAATCTCTGAAATTAATGTATTCCAGAAGCAATGCACCAATTAACTCATCCAAGAAATATGAAATTTTGCAGGGTGCAAAGTCTGTCTCAGCAAGGAATAAAACTGTGTAAAAGTTTATACTACAATTAACCCATTTCCTGGTTGTGGCCATTTTGCTGACAAATGTCACTTCTGGCACTGGAAGTGTGACATCCATTGGCAAAGGTCACAAATCCAGCTTTGCACAATATTTCCTTCACTGGCAAAAGAAAAATGCTAAAGCACAGACTGTGGGAGAAATGGCACTATCTGACTCCACAGACCTGCCACAGGTGTATTTGGTGTCAGATCTAATTATTTTCATTGCAAAAATCAATGCTTGACTACTTTTTAACTCTGTCCTGCTAGCACCACAATGCTAATAAGGCTCTGAGAAGGGCAGTGTGGTGCACTGTACTAGCATGTAAGAGACTTTGGGTTCTATCCTGCTGTAACCTTGGGCAAGTCCCGTAAAATCATGGCCCCACTGAGAGAGATCTTCCATAACATCAGTGTTTCCAGATTTTCATCCTTCATCTTTACCCTTAGCTTCCCCATTTGTAAAAGTCTTCCATAACATCAGTGTGTCCAGATTTTCATCCTTCATCTTTACCCTTAGCTTCCCCATTTGTAAAAGGCAATAACAGACCTGCTAGTCTGGGGGCATAAAGAGGGTAGCTGCCCCAGAGCCTGGTGACTCAAAAGGGCCCAGGGCTACTGGCCACAGCAACCACCACAGAGCCCTGAGACCTTCAAATTACCACCACCATGCTGGCTGGCATGCCCCTGAGGCTAGCCATGGCCCCATCCCTTCTGGCCAAGGCCCCACCCCTTTCGAGAGTGTGGAGCTGTCCCCCACAATACCTTACCCAGGGCCTGGCAATTCTGTCAGCCCCCAGGCAATAATGATACTTTCCCACCTTTGTAAAATGCATTGAGATCTACAGAGAAAAAGCATATGAATAGTATTATAAAACAGGGAGTCCATCATATAGACACAATGGTGGTGCCAGATGGGGTTTCACAGGTGCAATCATGAGTAAAATATAGTCTTTCTTCCTGGTAATTAATCAAAGAACACAACTGCTGGTACTTTCTTCCTGGTAATTAATCAAAGAACACAACTGGACTTTCATGAGCCCAAGCTAAGTTTGTAGGGCTGGCAGTGAGATAAAATAGCTGTTTATTTGTACACTGACTAAAGTTGCCTTGGAGTCATTACCAGGATGCCATTTTTATACAAGTCCTTTTCTGAGCTGAACTACAGTCTTGTGTTAAATATTTAAGAACTAAGGGCCAACACAATTGCACCCATGCTGGCAATATTACAGGAGACACCAGTATTGGCCTGGCAGTGAAATGGTCCCATCAGAACAAACTAAAGCATGTTGGAGGGGGTAGGGGAAAGTTTGTACTGATGCTGCTCATGTTGTATTATAATATTCTATTGCTAGACAAAGACCTTCTGCCTCTGGGGTTGTCAATCTGGTATCTTTTGCCTGCACAAATTCACTTTACATAAAAAGATTGCTAAGTAAAACCCAATGCTGTTCTTAGCAATGTAAAATGCTCTTTGTCTCTGTTCACTTTTTCTAAAGATTGCTTAGCTGCTATGTTAATATTTGCTATTTCTCTTATTCTAAACTCAGTTTGTCATATCCAGTCATGTTATTTTCCACAGTTGACTTTACTTTAATTAAAAACAAACTGAAAGCTTATACAATAATCTCTTAAGCCTGTTTCCTTGATCAGACTGTGGAATAACAAAAGAAAACTTTTCAGAGTGGGGACTTTTGATGCAAGTAACTATAAGGCATTCTCCATAAGAAAAACAAGGCAAAGTTACTTATTTTTTTCAGGAAGTAAGAGCAAACATAAAAAGGCATAAAAACTGCTTAATATTAGCTCTACAGTGGGCAAGCTATAGGCATGGCAAGATCAGAGTCTGTAGTGTCATGCTTCACGTTAAAAGGTGGTAGCAGGTCACATCCACCAACACCTGCTACCCATGCTCCATACACAGTTGTAGCCAGCCCTAGTTTAGCTCTGCAGATCTGTTGTCTCTGAGGATATTTCTTCAACCAAAGTTTTCTAGTCAGGCTTGGTCCTTTTACCAGGACTTGGCCTTATACCTTTAACTTTGTGGTTTATTTTTAGCATGTGTTTAATATACTAGAGCTATGCAATCTCACCCCTTTAGGATTTCACACAGATACACAATCCACAAACAGGGCAAAGCCCTCACTAAATTCAATGGATCTTTGCTAATTAAACTAGCTTGAGAATCTGGCCACAATTGTGGTAATTACACACTCAGCCTCACTAACTGCATGTACAAATGGCTAATTCAATGTCTAGCTCACCATTTGTGCTTGCAGTTATGACTGTGTGAGTTACTGCATTAATTGCACACACAAATTACGTGCACACATGTCTACATACACTAGTCTGAAAAATATGGGTCCCAACTAAAATTTACATGGAACGTTATAATAATAAGACCAGATCTTAATCAAAGAAATGTTAATTGCTCTCTAGGAAGACAATACAAAAGAATAACATGCTTGGCATATGTCTAGGAAAGAGGCAGCCGCCAAAGCCAGTTAATAGTTTCTTCTTTATAAATAATGTAACAATGTCTTTTACCTGATAGTTGTTATTTAGAAACAGATTTTTTAAACTGTTTTTGGGTGTTGGAATTGGTGGAAAGAGTCTCCTCCATAAGTGGCACCTGTGGAAACAATAAAGCAGGCTTATGAAAGAAATCAGGAGTTTTCTTCTCTCTGCCGTGAATAACAATGATTTTATTCTCATGGGTTCTGTCATCACATACACAGCAGGGCCCACAGCCTCACCACGCTCCAAGGCAAGGTGGTTAGGATGGTTCCCTGCTCCCAGAAGGATCAGAGTCTCAGCCAGAAGGGGTGGAGCCTGCCCTCAGTGCCACCTGGAGCACACTACCGCACCGCACAGCACAGCACAGCACAGCACAGCACAGCCCTCCCTCCCCAGCCTGCAGAGCCTCCTGGAGTGTGCACGGATGCATTCCGGTAGTGATTTAAAGGGCCCAGGGCTCCAGCTATTGGGCCCTTTTGAATCACCAGGCCCCAGGGCAATTACTCCATTGCCTCTGCTTATTAGCAGGTTTGCACATACACTAGACTCCTCTGACCCCCTTCCTAGAGCTGGGCGAGAGGAGCTAGGTTGAGGCCAGAGCAAAGAGGAAGGAGATGCCACTTATTCCTACTGACTGGTCAGAACAGTTGACCTAGCACACAATGCGTAGAGAAGGGCTCAGTGAAAAAGAATGCAGAAACTTATGCTTTCCCCAGGGCAAAGGGCAAGGAATGTGAGTTTGTGACATAATCTGTTCTATGAGATGCTCCTGGATGGTGCAACTGTAATCAATGGGTCTAAATAGAGATCTCTATAGACAAGTGTGGGGGCGGGTGTAGGAAAAACTGGTGCTTGGCAAATGCAAAATTAGTCCTCAGCAGCTAGTAGTCCCTGAAATTGGGTGTAGTTTGGGGCATACTCAATAGGTTTCTGTAGCTGGACTCCTCTGGCTGCGCCTAGATTGGCATGATTTTCCAGAAATGCTTTTAATGGAAAAGTTTTTCCGTTAAAAGCATTTTCGGAACAGAGCGTCTAGATTGGCACGGACGCTTTTCCACAAAAGCACTTTTTGCGGAAAAGTGTCCGTGCCAATCTAGACATGCTTTTCTGCAAAAAAGCCCCGATCGCCATTTTTGCGATCGGGGCTTTTTTGCGGAAAACAAATCTGAGCTGTCTACACTGGCCCTTTTGCGCAAAAGCTTTGCGCAAAAGGGACTTTTGCCTGAACGGGAGCAGAATAGTATTTCTGCAAGAAGTACTGATTTCTTACAGTAGGAAGTCAGTGCTTTTGCTGAAATTCAAGCAGCCAGTGTAGACAGCTGGCAAGTTTTTCCGGAAAAGAGGCTGGTTTTCCAGAAAAACTGGCCAGTCTAGACACAGCCCACTGAGTGTAAATAATCAGGACAGCAGTTTTGCAAAGAGCCCCTGACCTGTATGAGGCCATGTGTTCACTAAGGGGAAGACTGACACTGCCACAGTCGATCTTCAGGAGTTCGCTTTAGTTGATCTAGCCCTGAGGTCTTTTCCAATTCCCAGACTCACTACATCAAACTCAGAAGGCACCCTTCCCCCATCAGCAGCCAATACACCTACTCCTGTGAGGAGTAAGGGAAGCTGACTGGAGCATTTGCTCCCATCGGCCTCCTGCTGTGGAGACATCTGGGAAACTGGTATTGTCTCCAGCTATGTAATTAACATCTTGATCATGATGCACATCTTGATTCAACCTTCCCCTTTAGTGAAGACCAGGCCTGAGTTAGGAGAAATTAAGCCTCATTAGCAGACAGGAGATTGGCTTTTTCCCCTAAGCATTTTGCAGGATATTAGTGATACTGTTAACCTCCAACAGGGAATCTTTGGCAGTATTAATGTCATAAAGGGGAAATTGGGAGGAAAAACATTTCTTTTGATTGAATATTTTGTTAGCCAAAGAAATGGGTTATACCCATGAAAGCTCATGATATCTTATTTTGTGTTAGTCTCTAAGGTGCTGCAGGACTAGTAATTGTTTTTTACATTTTTTTCAGTTACAGACTAACATGGCTACCCCTCTGAAACATTTGATTTTAGCTTAGCTGTTTTAGTTAAAATGTCTCAACCAGTATGATTCACCAACTCTGCTCTTATTTAAATGTGATGATGGGGAAAGAGTTCTTAGATTTGTATTTTTCTTATGTCTTTGTTTTATTTATATACCAAATCAGAGGGGGTGGTTAACTAGTTGGCTGACTAGCTGAATAATTTTTAGCAAAGGAGGAGGAAGAGTCTGCATGGATGCCAGTTGGATTTCTTCAGGCAAGAGGAGATAAGGTCTCATCACAGTTCAAGCCCTGCAAATCCAGAGATATCCATGGTATATCTGCAGATACTCGCATCCACAGACACAAATTTTGTATCTGCACAGGGTTCTAGTTGCAGAGTTATTTTTCTCAGCATACATTATAGATTTTCATTGTGGTGATCAAAGACTGTAACTGAGATTCTGAAAAACTCAACCTAAACTTTTGAGTTACTTCTCACTGTGTATCTGTGGGGACTAACCTGTTTAGATTCCTTTTTGTTTATGTATAACTGTGAAGATCATGTATGCGGATTATAAAGGTAGCCTTCTTATGTTGCAGAAATAGCATTATAAGATTTTATAAAGTTAATACTTGAGAATTAAGTTCATTCCTTTTGGACTTGGCTGTGAGGAGGTGACCCTGTGCAATCCTTGCTGAAAATCTTCTGGGTCTCCATGTGCTTTTCTATCGAGGTTGGGCTTTTTTTAAGGCACTGAAGAAGGGCAATGAAGTAAACTCTAGTCCACCCAAAAGATACACAGCTATATTAAAACTTTCTCTTTTCATATTGTGAAGTTACAATCTGGCCTCAAGATGTTAAAAACACATTTTTGTGATAACAAGCACTGCAGATCCATGTGTATTTCAAGTGACCATGCTGCTGCCACAGAGCATTCAGAACTCTCTGGTTCGTTTCTCTCTGAAACCTTTTATTTCCCCTTTTCTCACCCTATCTACTCTTTCTGATCTTAGCTTAGCCCTAAATAAAAACCTAGGGCCAGATCCTGCAGTCTTAAATGGGAGAGAGCTTTGCCTGAGCAGGATTATAGACGTTATCCCATAGTAATTCAGATTAAGATTTTGTCATGTTTTTGTTTTTGTTTTTTAAGTAAAAGTCATGGACAGGTTGCAGGCAAGACAAAAAAATCATGGAAGCTTGTAACCTGTTCCTGACTTTTACTAAAAATATGGAGGAGAGGAACTAAAAACCAGGGGCTCACTTCTGGCTGCTTCCCAACTCCCTGGGCAAGTTGTGCTAAAACAGGGTCAGACAGCTGCTTTGGCAGGGGCTGGAGAAAAGGAAGTCATGAAGATCTGTTAAAGTCATAGATTCCGTGACTTGTCTTTAATATACATGGCCTAATTCTCCGTCCCATAACATGCTGGTATGATTTAAGAGAAATGGCACTGGTTTTAAAGCAGGGCCACAATTAAAGCAGTCTCTGTAGATTAGATGCTCAGGTCGCACTATATCTGCCCCAGTTTCATCTGTGTTGGTTGGGACTGAAGTGAGAGCTGCCTCTCTGCTGCACTGTGTTATGCACCGTTTAAGAAAGAGGCATCCTGTACCATACTCACTAAACTACTGCTGCTGCACTGTGTTTTGCACTGTTTAAGAAAGAGGCATCCTGTACCATACTCACTAAACTACTGTAGGTGACTCGTGGCAGTACTCTAGAGGTGCACCCTCTTCTGTATCCCCATTAAAGTTTTAATTTGTAATTGGGATGTCCTGTTATGCTCCCTCCCTGTTTCTCAGGGTGGCCTGTACTTCTTTCTCCTGCAGATATTAGTCCCTCTGTAAACTACTGATCTTTTTTACAACTGTCCCAGTTCCTGGGGGTTGGTCAAACTCTTGCATTACTATCACTTTGACCCTTTCAAAAGCCTTTTTGATTTCTACTAAGCTCTTTGTATTCCTTCTGATCAAATTCTCTAAAGTAAATTACTGCTATTAGCTCCTTTTCATGTCTCCCACTTAGGCACTTAATACTATACCTCACAGATAATCATGGCAGATGTTGAAGGTGCTACCGTGCAATAGGTGGCCATTCCCTGGCTAAAATTGCTATTGCTCAGTAGGTCAGTGTTAAAATACATATTTGTGCTTAGCTAATTATTTAGTGACAGGATGATGCAAATTGCAAGTCACAAAAGGGAAGACTGAATAATGAAATAATGAAAACACAATGAAATCACTGTTGTACAGGCAATAAGGAACAGGAAATCAGTGTTGCACAGGCAATAATCTTATGCCTGGGGTGTGTGGCCAAGGAATCATTGGGAATGGGGAAGAAAGAAGGAGCCTAAGAAAGAGATTTCCAAGGGACTAGACACTTTCTCTCTTTCCAATAAGAAAAGATGGAACATTCTGCATGCTCCTTGGAATACGATTTCACACAATGATTTGGAATGTGCATGTCATTCAGAGTAAGGCAGCTGGGGATCCAGCTAAAGAATGAGACAGGGCTGACTGGAGATGGTCCTTCTGTACATGCTGCTATCATTTCAGCTCTTGCCAGGTGAATTGTTTGAAACACTTAGGATACGTCTACACTGGCCACAATTTCCGGAAAAGGGATGCAAATCAGGTAAGTCAGAGTAGGAATAAGAGATCCTCTGGAAAAGGGCTTTATTCCGGAGGATCGCGCCAGTCTAGACGCTTTTTTTCCGGCTTTTCCCCAAGCCGGAAAAAAAGCGGCGGACATGTTTATTTAAATCCCCCGGGGGTATTTAAATCCCCCGATTTGCATCCCTTTTCCGGAAATTGTGCCCAGTGTAGATGTAGCCTTAGGCTATGTCTACACTGCAGGCTTTTTGCACAAGAACAGCTGTTCTTGAAAAAACTTGCAGAGCGTCTACACTGCATGCACATTCTTGCACAAGTAAATTTACAGTAAAGCATCGGAAAAGAGGGCTTTCTTGCAGAAGAGTTATTCCTCTCCCCATGGGGAATAAGCCTTTTTGTACAAGAGCTCTTGTGCAAGAAAACAGTGTGGACAGGCAACATGGATTTCTTGTGCAAGAAACCCCTATAGCTAAAATTGCCATCAGAGCTTTCTTGCGCAAGAGAGCATCCACATTGCCATGGACGCTCTTGCGCAAAAGCACATGGCAGTGTGGATGCACTCTTGCACAAGAACTTTTGCACAAGAATTCTTGCGCAAGAAGCCTGCAGTGTAGACATAGCCTTTAAAGGATATATCTGCACAACCCTGTTAACGTGAGTGATTGTCACCTAGACTGAGCACTTATGGTAGGGATTTGCAGTGTGGCTGCTCATTATCCTAACCAGGTGTGTGCACTCACACTGCAAAGCCCTACCCTACTTACCAGGCATGTCTACATTGCAATAAAAGGCTTGCAGCATGGCCACAGCTGGTCTGGATCATCTGACTTAGGGTGTAAAATTGCAGTGAAGAGACGCAGGCTGAAGTCCGGGCTCTGAGACGCCCTGCCACACGGTCTCAAAATGTGGGCTCCAACCTTAGTTCAAACACTATTAGCCTCCCAGCCTGAACCCAAGTTAAACTGAAGGGTCTCAAAATGTGGGCTCCCCGTTAGTTCAAACATTATTAGCCTCCCAGCCTGAACCCAAGTTAAACTGACCTGGGCTCAGAGACTCTGTGCCATGGGGTTTTTTAATCACATTATAGAAATATCCCAATATGTGTGCTGCACTCATGTACGTGTATGGCTAGGACTGCAGGGGCTTCAGCATGTTCTTTGAGCTTACACGAGTGGTGTTGCTCTGTAATTTCTTCCCAATGAATTGTGAGAGAACTGATCTGTCCTAGGCACAAAAGGGGAATTGTGGGAAGGCAGTGGAGGACTGACAGCACTCAAATGAGTGAGCCTGTGTCCTTATTTCAGAGGGGGTGAGCTACGAGCCGGAATGAAAGTGGAATTGGGAATCTAACTCACACCTCCAGTCATACCAGCTAGCTTAGGTTAAGTCTCTATGTAAGAGGGGTTGGTGTGTTTGATAGGAGGGGAATTAGAGCCATCTCCTGAATTAACTCTGCACTGGAGACATCTACAAAGTGATTTTTTTCACAACCAAGCTTTTAGTTTGAAAAGAGCAACTTCCTGGGAAGAAAATCAGCTAAGGACTTATCAGGTGAGAAGCTAATTTAGAAGCCATTAGGGAAATTAACAGGCAGTTAGTGGACAGTGCTTAAATTACTGGGAGCCTTTTTATTGTGAATCTGATGGCTGCTGCTTGATATATCTCTGAGGGAGAGGAGTTTGAAATTACATCATATTGATTCTTTGATTCACCATTGATGAACTGACTTCTTGATTGATTTATGATTCTGTTCCTTGATCTCTGGGTACTGCCAGAAATCCAAAACGCTTCTGGGTTTGCTCACAGAGGCTGCGTCTAGACTGGCAAGTTTTTCCGCAAAAGCAATTGCTTTTGCGGAAAAACCTGCTAGCTGTCTGCACTGGCCACTTGAATTTCCGCAAGAACACTGACTTCCTACTGTCTGAAATCAGTGCTTCTTGTGGAAATACTATGCTGCTCCCGTTTGGGCAAAAGTCCTTTTGCGCAGAGCATCGGAAAACTCCACACCCACAAACCTGCCAGCCAGCATTTCAATCAAATTGGCCATTCCCTTAAGGACCTGACAACATGCATCTTACAACAAAGAATAGTGATAGAGATGTAGCCGTGTTAGTCTGCTGTAGCTGAAACAAAAAACAGGAGGACTATGCAGCACTTTAAAGACTAACAAGACTCCTAATATCATTACCTCACAGACACTAACCTTCCCCCCTTATCCTCCTCTGTTCTAAAATCTGATTTGTCAATTTTATATGTGCTCACTTTTTTTTTATTGTATCACTTTGGTATATATGGTCGTACCAATTTTCTTCCACAAATAGATCTGAGGAAGTAGGCCTGGCCCATGAAAGCTTATCACCTAATAAACCATCTTGTTAGTCTTTAAACTTACAACAAAGAGACTTTAACACCAGATTGCAGAGGGAGACCTCAAAACTCTTATTTATGCTAAAATTCAACACGTTGCAAATAGGCCTTAATTGAGATAATAATTGTTTTACATATTACAAAGACAGCCTCCCCACCTTCTGATATTTGTAGTGTCCCCAGAGTAGCCACTTAATTGACTCTTACAATAAGCAATTTCCTCCTTCCTTGTCACTTCCTCCCCCTCACCCCCAGCTTCTGTTCTATGTAGCTGATTTGTCAGTTTAATAATTGTTTTACTCTTTTCCTTGTATCCTTCCATTATATAATGGTTGCGTCAATTCACTTTCAGCATATGATCTGACGAAGTGGGTCTGCCCCACGAAAGCTCACCACCTAATGAACTATCTTTTAGTCTTTAAAGTGCTATATGACTGCTTTTTTTTTTTGTTTTACCAAGATCAAATTAACATAGCTACTTCTCTGTTAAGACACATACAGTGTGTGAGAGTGACAGAGATTTGCATTGCCAAGCTCCCACCATCCCCTTCTCTCTGTGTGGAGATAGGGTCCAGAAGTGGGGGGAGGAGGGACACCCTGATATCAGCACACCGCCCCTTCTCCCTCCCACACCCTGCACAGCAAGCAGAAGGCTCCCGGGGGGGTGGGGGGGGGTGCAGCTCCAAAGCAGAGGGCAGGAGCAGCAGGACAGTGGATGGAGGGGCAACTGAAGTGCCAGCACTTGGTAGCTTCCTGGCCAAACCAGTCAAGATCACCTGTCAGAGGCTCCAAGATCTACCTGTAGATCCTGATGTACAGGTTGGTGACCACTGACTTAATGGCTCTTTCACAGGTTCAATGTTATTCTAATAGGTATGGCAAGCTGGAAAGCTTTTCACTTGTAAGTTAACAGATCCACTCCTGGTGAAGAGTCACCAGTCTGCAAACAGCAACAGCTGCTGTGGGCGCCTTCAGGAACAGTCTGAATAAGGATAGGAAGAGGGGCCAAGTTGAGCTCTAGACCCAGGGAGGCATTGTCTCCTCTTTCCTTTTATACCTGCCACCTATGGATCTGCTACCAAATACGTGCCAAACCAGTCTGAGAAAATAGTTAACTGCTAAGGGTGAGAGTCAATACTGGGTTGGATTTCTGATGGAGCTGAGCATTTTTACCTCCCAATGAGGTCAGTGAAAATCAGGCCACATGTACAGGTGCCTAAATATGGATTTCAGATGCCTGTTTTAGGCCACAAGTTTGCAAATATGAAACCTGTCCTTTGTCTTTAACTGTGAAAGATGGCTTGTCTTAGCAGCTTTTGCTGGGCCTAAAAGAAGCATTCTTCAATGGAGATAAATGGCCAGCAGAGTCTACCTTAGTGAAAACTAAGCAAAGTAGACAAGGTAACTTCCTGACAGTCCATCTCACACTAAGACAGTTTCAGTCTCTCTTTCAACACATGGCTTTGGAATTGAAGATTAAAATTAATCATTCACGATTATTAGTATCAAATTCACTGAACTTTTATAATTTAATCTATATTCTTGATACATATTAATCCATATTTTAATGATTTCTCATGAAGATTTAAATGCATTACTCTGTACTCAAAGGGCTTTTACTTTGATATTAATCTATAGTTATCCCCTAATCAACAATACTTACTTTCTGCATATTATAGCAATCAGCAGTGCCATGGAACATATGAATACTAGAAGTGCAGTGAGAACTCTGTAGACCTTGGAATCCACTGAAGTCCTCAGCTGGTCTTTTCCTGGATTAAAAAAAAGAGAGAGAGATTTTTTTTCTTTGAAAAAAACACACTGGTAAAAAAAAAAGAGAGAGAGATATTTTTTTTTTCTTTGAAAAAAACACACTGGGTAAAATTCTTCCAATAGATAAGCTCTTGGAACCAAACTGACTTCATTCAGTGGGTTTATACAAGATCATAATTTCTTTCTCTTTCTCTCTCTCAAATCTTTTATACCTATGGCTGGGGAACAAGCTGTAACAAATTAAGCTTCACAGACTTCTTCCACATAGTTAGGTCTATATTTATGCACAGAAGAAAGCAAGCTAAAAATTGGCATGAATCAGGGCCAAAGTCATTATCAGTACAAAGCACTCTCCTATGTTAACCTACTGAGTTGTGCAATTGCACCCAAGAGCCAACATGTCTGAGTATGCAATAAAGACACAGCTTGCTTATGATCGTGGTCACAAATAACTTGCTTTCCGTTAAACCACCTTTCAGTTAATAATATTAATCCTTTTAAGTCAGGAGTTGGATTTTCCTGGCTTAATAGTCATGGCCAATAAAACATGCAGTGAGACCACCAATTTTTCTTTGAAGTCAGTTGTTTATTGTCCCTCAGGCAGAAGTCCCTGCTCCAACTACTGGGGAGAAGAAACATGTATCAAGGGAAATATTCCTATTTGACAAAGATGTCCCTAATGTCATGTTTCATCACTCAGAGCTATATAAGGAAAACATTTAACACTTGAACATTTAGATTTTTAAAGTTCAAAGATTGCCTGCTACCCATATGTCTATGAGAACTGCACACAACCTATATCAAGGTGACAGAATGACTGTACCTGGATAATTGAAAGGACTGGTCAGCAGAACAGTATTCAGGTTTCCAGAAAAAATATTATTCAGCTTCAGTACAGATTCTTTTCTGTGAAATAAAGGACTAAATGTCTAAGCCTGCAGATCTTTATTTATGTGCGTAGTCACCCTGTAGTCCTTGGGACGATGGATGTGGATTATCATATGAAAAATAACTGTGGGATGGGGGTCCTGTACTGTTGCAGTTCAGAGACCGGGGCAAACAGGTCCATATGCAAGAATTTCTGTGCGGGGAGGGTGTGAGCCATGGAGAGGGGCTGGTGCCTGCCCTACACCCGTGGGCCAGCGCTGCCCCCAGCCTTACTCCTGGTGGAGGGAGGAGGGAAATCAGCCCCAGCCTTTCCCTGGCCTGCTAGAGCATTTGGGGGATTGTGGAGGGGGGCTGCGTTTGCACGCTTTGCACCTCCCCCACGTATGGGTCTGGCAAACTGTGTGCATATTAAATACCGTCGTTGATGTAACTAGTTTTAAAAAAATTGGTTATAATTATATTTCCAAAAAATGAGGTCAAAGAATGTAATGCTCTGTCCTGGCCAGCCGTACTCCATGCAAGTTTGAAGGGTGGCGTGGAAAGTGTCACTAAGATGCATTGTCAACTAAGTTCTAAAACTGAAGTGAGCTATTCCTGGTTCCCTGAATGAAGTAGAATAGTCCTGAAACTTCTCTGTGTTATTTTGGTTGTGTGTGGTCCTAAATTGCCATAAAATAAGGCAGAAATACAAATATCTGATTGTAAATAGGAAAAATCTAGCAAGCTTAGCCAAAACAGTGTTTTGTCGGGAATTTCTATGTGGGTTGGGTTTCTTCCAGATTTTAAATGAATGATTGTGGTGGTACATCAGTTTTGTCATCTGTTTGAATACGTTTCATGTTTACAAATAATTGGTGATGCAACATGTAAGCTTGCACATTCGAGTTCTGCAGAAAACATGTGAAACCAGGTCTCTACCGCAGACTCACTGATGCGTAAACAGTTCATTGTCGTAGGCTAGATCAAAGCTAATACATTCTCCACAGACAAGCAGACTAACAGTTTATCCAGTTATCCTCTGCAGATTCAGTGAGTGCCGAAGTTACCACATTTTCTACCCAAGACAATACAGTATTTCTTCATACTTCAGATAAGAAATAAGGGCCCAGTTAATGGAAGCTTCAAGAACTCATAACTGGGTCTTAACCATGGTAATTCAGATTTCGTGAATGTGGCAAATAGGGTCAATTCTGATCCCTGATCCAGTACCTCATAGCAAAGTTACACAAACTGGAGGGGGGGGGAGGGAGGGAGAGATGCAGAATGTATTCGGGGTGTGAGAAGGAGAAGGGTATCTGGTGGCTGGGCATCTATCTATGAAGGTAGTGCTGCTACCAGTAGCAGTGGAGAAGAAAGGGTGGCATGGCATGAAATTGCCATCATTATTTCTGCTCTGCTACTGCTGGCATGGCCTTCAGAGCCTATGCCTAGCCAAGAGCCACTGCTCCCCACTTTGTTTTCAGAGCTGGACTGCCATAAACGTACTTTGTAGTGGATTTGGGGTGCAGGGGGCCATAACTACTACAGGAAAAAAAAGGGAGGCTTCAATCAAATAAGTTTGAGAACCATGGCTTATAGGAGCTCTTTCAGTGAGCCGAATTTGGTCAGAGCCTTGCACTGCTTTGGCCCCATGTCTGAAGGATACTGTGTTACCAGGAGCAGGTGAAGGTACCCACAAAATCATTAAGGCCATTAATACATTAATGTTCACTAGAGAATAGGTATAAGGATGTTGGAGAGTTTGGTAAACAGGAGAGAGCAAACTGAAGAACTTTTTTTTTTTTTTTAAAGAAAATCAGGAAGTAAAGAAATGTAACTCCAGAGATAAGAGTGAGAGGAGATGGCTGAGCACAAACAGTCGATAATGTGTCATGATAAGATAACTGCTACTTTTATGAAAACATGTTCCGCAATCAGGAAATGCAGTGTCAAGTGGATCACATGAAGGCATTAATGTCTGCCAAAGATACTAACCTTCACAGACCCAATGGGAGTTCAGGTAACTTCTAATAAGGTGCACCTGACCTTACGATTTGCTCTGGCGTTTGGCATTAGCACACCAGAACCCATATCACATGGGTGTGGCAAGCACATTTCAAATGTAAAGAAATATATCAGCTAGTAGGGCATGCTGATATTCTCTGGTGTGATGGATCTCAGACCCAGGTGTGCCAACTTCAAGCAAGTGTCATGTCATGTGGAGAGTAAAATTGTGCCAGGCTAATAATAATATGGAGACACCTAAGGAACTGCAGGTTACTACAAGAGGTAGTTTTGGTACTACAAGAGGTGACCTTCATTTACCTGATTCAGTATTGTCCCCTTGCTCTTCCACTGTCAGTAGGCAGGATGGAGCACTATATTGCCTCCTAGAACCCTCATGTCATAGGTGCCAAGTAAGCACAGCTCTCACTGAACCATACCCACAACTCTTTGAAATCAATGAATCCTTTTCAACCAGCTCTAAAATTCGAACCAGAGAGTTACACTTTCTGGCTCTTCTGTATTAACAATAGCATGGCATCATGTTCACAACTCCATGTTCGCTTTTATTAAGCTGTACTTATTGATTTTTTTTAATTACAAGCTGAATTTGTATCTATTTTAAAGCGTCCCTTCAAGAAAACTCTTCAAACAAATGTTTCAAGTATCCACATGCCTCTTTGAGAATGACCCACAAATAGCAAAGAATAGCAACAATTAAAAGAGTCAGTGTGTATCCTCAGATATATTTGCATGGCTTTCATCAGGGGTACAAGTGCCCCAGGGGCCCAACAATTCGAAAAGGCCTGAGGCTCTCAGCCACCACTGCTGTTACTGTGGCAGCAGTGGTGGCTAGATCCCCGGGCCGTTTAAATTAACACCTGATCCCCACAAAGCACGCTCTGGGCAACACTGAAGGCTAGGGGTAGGTGTGGCATTCTCCAGGTGGTACTGAGGCTGCCTAAGGGAAGCTAACTCCAGCCCCACCCCTTAAGGGGACACAGAGCCTGCCTCCCCTCCCATCTTGCCCAGGGGCCCAACGAGTCTATTGACCTCACCAGCATTCATTGAAGTTAATGGTAGATGTACATTGCTTTAACGGTGTCCCAGGCCTCTGTGTGTCAGAAACTGGGAATGGGCAACAGGAGGGTGATCGCTTGATGATTATCTCTTCTGTTCATTCCCTTTGGGGCACGTGGCATTGGCCACAGTCAGAAAACCAGATACTGGACTAGATGGAACTTTGGTATGCCCCGGTATGACCATTCTTAACTTCAGATGCACACGCTTAAACAGAATTTAACCTTCAGTTACATATGCACTAAAATAACTATTAGACAACAGACATTTTGGTTCTTACCAATATAAAGAGGTTCAGTCCAGTCACTCCAGAATCCTTTCCCACACCATGACTGAAGATTAGCTCTTATCTGTATGGAGTTTCTACAGGTGTCATCAATCGTTAAACTGAAACTGTTTAACTTAGTTTTCAATATCTGCTAAAAACAATGCAGCTCTGTCACAGAGTTCTTAAAACAAATAAGGTCAAGACAGCAGGTTACATTGCTTCTGTTATTAAAATTCAAAAATGATTTACAATATTTACTTATGCATAAATACAACCATTGTTACAAAATGATTTATTGTGTTTGTTCTTTTTGTAAACTAATTTTAATGGTCTAAAGATGGATACCAAAACTTGATTTTCAAACAAAACCTTGATATTTGTTGCTCTAATTTTGCACCTGCAATGAATTATCTCCACCAGCAATTCATTCTGGCTGAATTTTTCATCCTGATGAATCTAGGTCCAGCCTGTCAGATTTATACATGCATAGCACCTTTGAAAATCCAACATTAAGAATCATAAATTCGGCTAGTTAAAAAGCCCAATTTAAGACTCTTAATGTTGGATTTTCAGAGTTGCTAAGCACCCACACCTTTGACAGACTAAACCTAGATGTGTCAAGATGAGCATAAAAAAAAAAGGATGAATATTTTATATTGTTGCCTTAGGCTACATCTAGACTGCCCCCTCTTGCTCAAGAGAATATGCAAATGAAGCAAAATGGTGAATGAGCTGCCATTTTGCGCAAGGGGCTTTTGCGCACAGCTACTTTTTAAGCAAAACCCCTTTCTTACGCTGCTCTTCCTGAAAAAAGCGGCAGACCAGCTCTTGCATATTCTCTTGTGCAAGAGGGGGGAGTCTAGATATAGCCTTAGTGTTTTCCAAGTTAAAAATGTGGGTACAATTCATGGTAAGATCCAAAAATGTGCTCTGACAAGAAAACTGACAAGAAAACTGATTTTAAAATTAGGAGTTAAATCCTTGCCCCATTAAAGTCGGTGGGAGTTTTGCCACTGATTTCAGTGAGTCCAGGATTTGACCCTACGTCTCTAGATTTTAGAGGATGGTACCTGGAGTTTTGGTTTCATGCATCATTTAAAACTCAAAAGTTCTCAATGAACCAAAAGATTTTTTCACTAGATTACATATGACTATATCCTGAATATATAAGAAAGACAATTCATTGGTGAATTCTGTATAGAAATACCTCAATTTTTAACAAGCAGTTACCTGTTGGTCATCTCTCTTACAGTTGTAGATATTAAGTTCGTATTCAAAACATTGCTCGAAGAGAGAAGAAGCCGGATTTTTCCACTTGACCAGACAATTGTTTTGTTTTAAAACCACAGTGACATTTCTGGGAGGATTCACTTTCTCTACAAAATTAAAAAAAACAGTAAAGTCTTAGCCATAAAGCAATTCTCATGACAGAGTGTTGTTCAAAGATTGGCTAAGGTTTGGACCTGGTTGAATTTACAGCCCATGAGTTTCACTTTGAGTTTGCTGTATGGTAGAAAGAGGGTTAAGAGAACAGAATAAATTAGCAGAAAAATGAACACTGAGAAGTAGGTAAAGCCACTGATCACATATATAGTAGCCCAATGTCTGAGAGTCTGTAACACTGAAATGCTGGCTGTTCCCCCTGGGTGGCCCCTGCTGCATGGGGAGTGCGTGGCCCAAACGTCCGCTTGCGCCACTTTCTCCCCCGCGGCAGCCTGGCTGAGCGGTGCAGAAGTCAGTCGAGTGCCACGGCGGGAGGAGAAGAGGAGCAGGGCGGTGACGTACATGGCCAGAGGGCGGGGCCAGGATGTGTCCATCACCGCCCCCCTTCGCCTCCTGCCATGGCGTTCGGCTGACTTCTGCACCGCTCAGCTGGGCCACCGCGGGGGAGCCCAAATGGACGCTTGCTCCCCCGTGGCAGCCCGGCTGAGCAGCACGGAAGTCAGCCGAGCGCCACGGTGGGAGGTGAAGGGGGTGGGGGCAGTGATCATTTGGGGGCCATTTGGGCTCTGCGGTCCCCCGAGTGAGAGGCGGAAGGGGGAGGAGAAGAGAAAGAGAGACAGAGAGAGGCGGAAGATGGAGGAGAGCTGAGAGAGAGAGAGGGGGAGGCAGTAGGAGGAGGAGAGAGAAAGAGACAGAGTGAGAGACCGAAGGCTCAGGAGAGAAGACCGACTTGGAGGAGAGACCTGAAAATCCCGTCTTATGACGGGCTAATTGGCTAGTATATTAATAATAACTAGAAATGACTGAGAAAATTATCTCCTTTTGTTAAAATTCTTTACAAGATTTTTTGAAATAAACTTTTAATTATTTCATGCCATGCAAGATTTGACAAAGAGGAGGTAAAAAGCTTTTTTCATGAAAAATAGGTCTTGTTGCTATAACTTTTTCCCCACTCTTCATCCTCCAACAGCCTGTGCCGTCAGATATCATTTCATCTTGTCTGATCTTAGGGTTGGATCATGCCCCCTATAAGCTGCTCTCCATACACAGATCTTGCCTCTTCTGTGCCAAAGATGCGTCTACATGTTTTGCTGAGTCCATCTGCATTGTAAGCCCTTTCCATTTTTCAGCATCTTTTTGGAAATATGGTGACTGGAACACAATTCTTCCAGACCTCATGTTGCCATAAAGGTTCTGAAAAACTGAAAGATGTTCAGAGAAGAGCATCAAAACTGATTATGTGGATACTCCTAAGAAGTAAGTTTAAACAGTTAAATATGCCTTTCTGAAAGCGAAGTATGAAAGGAGATGTGATAAAACTACAGCTAAGTGAAGGATATAAAAATTAAGATAAGAAAGGAATTATTTAAGAGGATCCCAGCACTATAAACTAGAGCAAAAAGGTGGCAGTAGGAAAAGGAAAATTAACCTGAATATGAGGAAAGGCTCCTTTCTAACAAAATGTATTAAACTGTAATAAAAAGTGGTAAAAGCTGTATTGCTTAAGACATTTAAAGCTAGACTGGATAAAGCAGTAAAAAATATTATGGGAAATCATATGCTGGCAGACAGATATATTAGATGAACCAATCACTCTTTTCTTTATCTTATTTTTATTGTACTACAATTTAAACCAAACTGTTAAAATCACACTCAGTTAAAATAATCATATTTCACCTGATTCCACTCTTACAATTCCAATTTCAGAAAATATCCATGCAAAACCCTAAATTGGACCATGGATTAGCCAAAATATCAGTGAACTTCAGCAAATTTTTAGAGATTTTAATGCCAGACTTTTTAAAGCTTTCACTGCAAACGTTTCACAAAGATTTAAGAAGTTATACTTATATTTAAATATGTAAAAAATGAAAATATTTACTCACCAATGGCCTTTTGATCAAATAACTGTTCATAAGGTTTAATTGCAGTATATTTGCTTGACCCATTAATGTGTATGATGACTTGGTCAAATCCACTAGTCTTTATATAAGTGTGTGAAATTTGGCAACCAATATTTCTTCCCCATTTGTCTTTATTATATTCTTGACACTCTTCAGTGTAGCCATTATACCTAAATTAGATTAGTTTGTAAGACATTATTATCTGAAAGAAACTAATAATTAGTAAAAATAGAAGCAGACACTTACCTGTAAAATAGAAAATATTTTGTGTCTTTTGGGGCTGCTTGGCCAGCAAGCCAGGTGCAATGAAGAGATGCAGTGTTATTAATGCTGGTGTAAATCATACAGGACAAGTTAGCGACAGAGGTCTCAACAGCACCTATACCACCAAGAATACATAAAAGTTCGCACTTGTAAGGTAAGAAATGCTAAATATTTACTAGCATGATGACTAGTAAATATTACGACTCATGAGTCTTAAATAAAATAAAATACAAATAATTACAATCTATTTTTCTTCTATATGTTTACATTTGATCTAATATGTCTATATCAAAATATTTATATAAGATTGGGATGTCTCATTACTCCTGCGTGGTGAAGCACTTCAATACAAACACTACAAATATTTTTATACCGCGGGACATCACCATATATTCCGTGCATGCCCCTCAGTTACAGGAAAAACGTTTTAGGAAGTTTTAAAATATTTTCTCTTAGCCCCATTCACTTGAAGAAATTTCTTTAAACCTCATTCCAGCAAAACATTTAAACGTGCTATTCTAAACTTGATGGTCTATTTATGAGTATGACCCTATTTTATATTACCGAAATTGCAGATCCTCCAGCTTCCACTACAGTTTTGATTGTAATGAGCTTACTTTGCACGGCCCATGATTTTGCATAGATTTTGAATGTGTAGTTAGTATTGCACTAATATTCAGTGCTATAAAACATTAAAAAAAGCTAAAGCTGCTGCACCTGATCTCTGTGTTGTGTTAAGACTTTTAGACTTCTGAATTTTATATTGCATCAGTCACTTTTTTTAAAAAATCAGTATGATATAGTTATAGTAAAATGGCTAATAAAAATAGCAGAAATAACAATACTTTTCTCTTAAACAACTAAGTCTATTATGGGTTTTTTTTTCAGATTACTACCATTAATAAATATCCATTATATCATTTCCATGACTTTTCCAAGTCTTGTTTGCAACTCAGCTGCAATTAGTTGAAGATTGTCCTATGATTCAAGTAGGGCCTTATTTATGAGCCCAAAAAGTTAAAGGTGTTAACATGATCTTGTAACTTTCCAATATTAAATAGTTTTTAAAAGTTTTAGCATTTGTTAAAGACCTCTCCCTGCTTAGTACTATGGCAAACACATCATTATAAATCTCTTAAACCTGTTAAAGATACAGAAAAAAAGGGAAAACAGTTAAAGCATTTGAAATTTTAAGTATTAAGTAAGACTTTCAATTTAACAACATCCCTTATTCCCTTTTCCTTTGCCTACAGAAAGTCTTTAAAAGGAGGGGAAAAAAACTTGTTTGATAGGCTCTGAAATGGTCCTTTTGGGGGAAAAGAGAAAAAATTAGTTGAGATGGACTGGAGAGGTTGTTGCTGTTGTTTTGCTTTATAGGAAATGGGATCAGACTTTTAAAACAATACTATTACATACAAGAGGAGAGAAAAGAACAGAAGAGATAGAAAATGCAGCTTCTGTTTCTGGTATTGACTCTCATTTTCAACTTTGCTGTAGGAGAAACACAGGCATAGCACAGTCTAATCAGCCTCTCCAAAAAATGGCAAACTTGTAACATTGTAGGACTATTTAGGCATTGCTTTTATCTGCCTCTCTGGTCAGAGACTTACCTACATGTTGAAAAATATGCAGTCTGGGTTGACTTTCATTAAACAGGAGGCAAAAGAAGAAGCATAGGAAAAGGAAGAAAGAAGGTCAGGAGGGCAAAAGACAATGGCTGCATCTACACTGGCGCTCTCTTGCGCAAATACTTTTAACGCAAGAGTTCTTGCGCTAAAGTATTTGCACAAGAGAGCATCTACACTGGCATGTGCCTTTTGTGCAAAAGCTGTGCTTTTGCGCAAGAGCATCCCATGCCAGTGTAGATGCTCTCTTGCGCAAGAAAGCTCCAGCAGCCATTTTCGCCATCGGGGCTTTCTTGCGCAAGAAATTCCTGTCCCTGTCTACACTGCCCTCTTGCGCGAGAACCCTTGCACAAGAGGGCTTTTTCCCGAGTGGGAGCGTCAGAGTTCTTGTGCAAGAACACTGACGATCTTACATTAGACAGATCTTGCCAGTTTAGACAGCTGGCAAGATTTTGCGCAAAAGTAACCGCTTTTGCACAAAATCTGGCCAATGTAGACACAGCCATGATGTTTGGGATTTAGCCAGAGTCAGTGGAGGTTGTGATACTATCTAAGTCCCTCTCCTTAGCTAAGTCTCTTCATAACATCTTTTGGTATTAAGAGGATCACTGGTGTCACAGTATATCCCAGGGGTCCAATAGGCTTTGAGAATGGCTGCCATGAAGATGATGAAGAAGCTTCCATGACCATGTGCCTGTTCTTCCATGTCTTAGTCAGTGCTTACTGGCAGACAACTGCTGTTTAGGCCCACTAACGGAGTGGAAGGGGAAGCGGGAGACAAAGATCTTACACATCCTGTTCAGGCCCGCCAACAGGGGTGGAGGCACAGGGAGTAATTGCTCTGGGACCCAGTGATTCAAAGGGGCCAGGGCTCCCAGTAACTGCTGGGGTATAAAATTGCTGCCTGAGCTCTTAGTGCTGACTGCCCAGCCTCACCCCTTCTACCTGAGGCCTTGCCCCTTCCAGGAGTGTGGATTTGTCCCCCGTCCCCCCCAACACCTTGCCTCAGGGTCCGCAGAAGTTGTCAGCTCTGCTGATTACCTGATACCTCTGCCCCACTCCTTGCTCCAGCAAAATGATCACTCAACCTTGTATTGGTCAAACAAGGGTAATCTTGGCTGAAATTTAGAGTATCAAGTATCTTCTGATCTTAGGGGGTTATGTGTTGTCTAAGGATGTTAAGTGTGGGTAAGTGACTAATTGATTAGTTGATAAGAGGCCCCACTGTGGCTCTGCAGTTTAAATGTAGTAGGAGCCGGGTGCACAGGCAGCCCTGTTCCTACTGCATTTAAACTGCAGAATCACAGTGGGGGTAGGTCTCAGACTCAGCGTGAGCCAGGACTGAGCCATCCCACCTTGTGCCAAGTCTCAGACAACTTCACCTCTGTATTTTAATTGTAGTAAGAACCACCCGGGGGTCACAGTGGGGTAGATCTGGGACCTGGAGCGAGCTGAGACTGAGCAATCCCAGCTCCACCAGGTCTCCGACCTCTGCACCTCTGCCTCCCCTGCCCTCCCCCCCCCTTCCCTGCACCACAGATATGGTGCTGGGGGGGGAGAGGAACCAGCTTTTAAGCCGGCTCCCCTCAATACCAGCTCCTACTTCCCCTTGCTTGCTGCCTCTGATACAGAGGCAGCAAGAGTGAGGGTGGAGTAAATAGTCTTATCAGATATTTGACTACTCAGCTAGTTGCTTACATCCCTTAGTTGTCCCTCCTGAGGGTCAGATTCTAATATCCATACTTAGACAGAAGTGTCTTGCTCCACAGGTAGTGTTACTGATGGAAAAGAAGGGTAAGCCATGGAGTTATAATCAAGAATAAGATACTAATCAGTGTGACTAAGGGTCTTGGAATCTGGACCAAAATAAGAAGGATGTCACACAAAGCAGGGAATATGCCATCCATTTGTAGTTTTTAACATGTCTTCCATTTCATGCTTTCATTGTCTGCAGACTAGACCATAACATAAAATTAAATCCTTATTAGTACCACATCTTACCTGATGGGGGTTGGAGTTCAGCTGTAACCCAGTTACTTTCTATTTTAGAGTTGTTACACAGAAGCTGTGTTTGAAGACGTGCAGAAAAGCCATTATGAAGCACAACTGTACGGGTACTGTGAGTGGAATTGGTGGTATACTTGAAAAATAAAACAACGTATGAGTATCAAATGCAATGGAACTTAACCTAGTTTCTCACTCAGGGAGCCAGCAAAGATAGCTCTTACAGAAGTGGTCTTTAAAGGTCAATTCATATTGTACTTCAAATCATGTGAAAATACTTCAAATGTGTTGCCTGAGATATGAGAATTTCCTATTGGGAATGGATTAAATGAAGATTTCCCTGTATAGAATTTTGGTGAAACATGGACCCAAATACTATTTATATACTGGCATCAATCTGCATTAAATGCAGGGAAATCAGTGTATTAGCCCTGCCTAGACAGTCCAGAGTACTTGACACTTACTTTTTCACTCTCAGGAGTCAGAATTTCCACGTCATAACTGACATGACAGTTCTTTTGTTCTTGACCAGGGTTTGGTTTCCATTGTAAAAGTACTTCTGCTAGAGCACTGACAGTGAGAGTGAAGTTCACAGGTGGGAGAACCTGAACTGTTGATTAACAGAGAAAACAAAATAATTGATAATATAGCAATGAATATATTAATAATAGTGAATGGTGAGTAGTTCAGAGAATAGCTACTTACAATATAGGAAAATGGTTACAGGCTTAATTTAAATGTTAGATTACATTCTTTTCATTAGCTTCTTATAAAACATGTTTCTTATACTTGGGTAAAAGGCTGCAAGTTAGGTGCAAATAGATAATTAAATAGGAATTTAATTAAAAACTAACAAAGTAATCTAGTTTTCATGCAAATTTTAGCTTGAAGATCACAAAATTTAATAACCTGCTATTATATCTGGCTTGTTTAAAAAAATTAGTTTGGGGTTCTTCAAGTTGATTTAGATGGATGGATGTCTGTGAGTAGATCTCTCCTACGGTTACAATGAAATCCATGGGCATTTGTGATGGCCCAGAGCTATGCTGCCCTCCAATCGATTTGTACAATCCAGGCCTTACAAACAAGAAGGTACTGAGTTTTATCCCTGGGAAGACTATATATTACCCTATAAAAAGATAGCTAATTGAAAATTACAAGAATGTATATGTGTAGGTTTTCAAGGATTTGATTTTTATTGGTAAACAGCGTATACATCAATTTCACCAAACACATACAAACCAACAAAAAAATATTTCCATGAATACTGTATATACTCGAGTATAAGCCGAGTTTTTCAGCACATCTTTTGTGCTGAAAAATGCCCCCCTCGGCTTATACTCGAGTCAGCGTCTCGAGAACTGAGGAAAGTGAGTACGCTGGTCAGGTTCTAAGGCATCCAGGTTGTTGTATCTGTCAGGAGGTGTTATTGTTATGGACTGCACTGTAAATTCATCATCAAAGTATCTCGTGTCAATTTCTGAGGTCTGAAAGCTCTATGTATGTGCGATGAACAGCGCACATACATAGGCTTGTTGGCTGCACAGTGACTGCCAGTGATTGGCTTGTCACTGTGCTGTGGGCAGGGGGCGGGTCCGGAGGCAGAAGCGCGGCTCGGCGCAGGCTGAAGAGAAGAGATAAGGTAAGGGGCCTGAATGGAAAGGATAAAATCCTTATGGAAAGCAGGATCTGCCCAGGGATTGTGGAAATATTTTATCCTCTGTGTCGGGGGAATGGTATATGTGGAGAGGGAGTTGCCATCTGCAAGTTTCCCTCAGCTAAAAACACGAAAACAGCTAGGAAGCCGGGACACCTGAGGAAAAGAGCTATGGGGAGCTGATTGAGCTTGGTTGCTGATTGAGCTAAGGTTGTTGTACTTTTAAAGTTACGGTATTTTTGATACCATATTGTTTTTGTTGACCCCCTTTTCCACTTACAGAGCTAGGTTATTGTTTTTCTTTGAAATAAATATTCATGTAATTTTATTGGTATCTATCTTCATTTTTTACATTTACCAGTAGCTGCCTCATTTCCTACCCTAGGCTTATACTCGAGTCAATATTTTTTCCCAGTTCTTTGTGGTAAAATTAGGTGCCTCGGCTTATATTCGGGTCGGCTTATACTCGAGTATATACGGTAATCAAAATTTACAGATAGGCAAACTAAGACACATGCCACTTGAAAACTTATTAGAGTTTGGCTTAAGGATTTTTACAAATCCACAATGAGAAAAAAATAAGCATATAGATAGCAAAACAACAAAATATTAAAGTTTTAGGAGAAGAAAATGACTCACTTCCTTTAGCTTCCAATAAGTTTGTTTGAGATGCCATTGCTGTCCAAAGGAGAATTGGAAAAATGCTCAACACAATGGCCATATCCTCCTGCTAATCAATGCTAATCGTTATCAGCACATGCTTCAGAACCATTTCAACTTCAAAATACAAGAGGTAGCTCTTTACCTACAAATTAACACACACAAAGTTCATAGTGTAACATCTGCAGTTGCTACATATGTAACAACAAAAGTGAGAAATGATGCTTTCAACTTACAATGCTTACCCTTACTCCTTCCCATATAAGCACACATCTTGCCATTCCCAAATTTCTGTTAATCACATACCCAGAGGTGGTGTGGGAGGGGTGGGGACAGGGTGCATCATAGTCACATTCCCCCCCCCCTCCAATTTCTGCCAGAGCTTGTTGTTCCCTACTCAGTCATATGATGTAGCTGAGTCCCCTCCTTGCATGTCAGTGCAGAGGAAGTGAACTACACTCAGAACCCTTCAGGGAGTGGCAGGAGCAACAGCTGATAGCTGCAAAGAGGAGCTGCTGCTTTCCAAGAGGGGAGACTGAGCAGAAGGGGAGGGGTGGACCTACCTATGGATTGAGCTGTTCTGGGGGTGGCTGTACTATTAAATTGTGCTCTCCCACCCACTGTCAGAAAGTACAATAGTCTCTGCACACACCACAACCCTCACTCTGCCCTCCTTCCCTTCCACGTGCTTCATTTTACCAACATACTCCCTGTCAACACTGTGATTGCTGGATGTGCAGGAGGGTGTGGGGATTTGGGTAAAGGCAATGATGGAATCCTGGCATCCCTGGGCAGAACCAAAGTTGTGGTGTGAGACCTGTTGTCTACAATCTCCCCAGAATTAGAACTGTAAGGCTACGTCTACACTGGCATGATTTTCCGAAAATGCTTTTAACGGAAAACTTTTCCATTAAAAGTATTTTTGGAAAAGCACGTCTAGATTGGCAGGATGCTTTTCCGCAAAAGCACTTTTTGCGGAAAAGCGTCCATGGCAAATCTAGACGCGGTTTTCTGCAAAAAAGCCCCGATCTCCATTTTCGCAATCGGGGCTTTTTTGCGGAAAACAGTACTATGCTGTCTACACTGGCCCTTTTGCACAAAAGTCTTTCGGAAAAAGTCTTTTGCCCGAACGGGAGCAGCATAGTATTTCCGGAAAAGCACTGACGATCTTACATGAGACAGCAGGCAAGGTTTTCCGCAAAAGCAGATGATTTTGTGGAAAAACTTGCCAGTCTAGACACAGCCTAAAAGTAAAGGCTCTGCTGTTATAAAATGATCACTCATTAGAAATTACTTTCAAGCTTGTTTATGGTTTACCTTAAATGTTGGATATACCTTGCATCAGGAGCAGAATTCAAATCCTACCTTCTTGTTGCCTGATTTTTTTAGGGGTTAATATTATATTGTATGATCTGGGCTTCAGGCTCCACAATTGATCTGATCAGAAGCGAATGAGACTGCACATAGTCTTGCAAGGACCCTTGGGGTACATCTACACTGCAACGCAATTTTGAAATAACTAGAACTATTTTGAAATAACTCAGTCCGTGTCCACACAGCAGGCAGTTATTTCGAAATAGTGTCAAACTACTGTCAAGCTGGAGGACTTCTTACTCCGACTCCTGTATCAGTCATTTTATGATGAATAAGGGATGTTGGAGGAAGAGCGCTCTATTTCAAAATAAGTGCAATGTAGATGCTCCCGATTTCGAAATAAGCTATTTTTGAAATAAGCTACGCAATTGATGTAGCTCAATTTGCATAATTTACTTCAAGTTAAGCCTTGCTGTGTATATGCACCCTTGGAGAATATGTCAAGAACACTCATGCTGAGCACAGAATACAGGGTTAGAGACTTGTGTATTAAAATAAGTGGAAAAGTTAGCAAACCTGCAAAGCACAGAATCAAAAAGAAATGATACAATCCTGGGGATCCTTGAGGTATCATCCCTTGCAAAAGCTACCTAGATTAACATACTCACACTCTTCCTTGGGGAACTGGTGGGAAGACACAAAGGGCCAACCTCATCCCTGGTGTCTGTTGATCCAAGTTCTTTAATGCTCAGATTGATGGGTGAATAATGAAGTGGAAGGGTCAAATGCAGAACAGCCAAGAAATCCAAAAGCTAAAGAAAATAAAAAGCTATGGAAAAGCTACTCCCACATGGTGGTCTGCCCTGTTAGAGGGTTGTGGTACCTTTCTGAATATGCAGGTCAGGGCCCAGCCTTTCATGCCCAAATCTAATTTCCTTTTAGAGGATTGTGGTACCATTCTGAATATGCAGGTCAGAGCCCAGCCTTTCATGCCCAAATCTAATTTCCTCAGCTACATTATTTTGAGAGTGCACATACTCTATAGGCTAACATATTCATTCATATTAATAACAGATCCATACATATTAAAGCTAATTATTTCATTCTCAAACCTGTTACCTTTGACATAAACAATTACTTCTATATTCTTGCGGTGTACCTTGTGGTTACCAATAGGTCTAGGGTTCTTTGGTAAACACAGTCAGTTCCCTAAAATCTAAAGAATAACCAATAGGCCATTTATTCATAATGAAGGTCAGAAAACTACTAATCATACGTGTGCTGTCTTCAGCTAATCCTACAGGACGCAAGCCTATAGGTTCCTTGCATTGCAGGCAGACATAATGAAGTGATGTATAATGAAAGGGTTCAATAAATGAGAACTGCGTTATAAGTAATCAAACAGCAAACCAGTAAATAAAGAGAGGCTATAATAAAACAAGCTAGCAGGCTAGTCCTATGAGCTATATCCCAGGAACTTTCATGTTTGCGTTTATTAGCAGGTATAAGAGCAGCCATTTTGTTTGTTAAACTGACATGAGAGATTACTTGAAATTGGAAGCAGATTTGGCTTAACACATGATGCTCTTCTGCAATCTATGAGAATTGCAAAGAATCATGCCATGCAATCCACATGCTTGCACAATGTCTCCAAGATCACTAACCTCAAAGGCATTATTGGTCCTGAAAAGACACACTTTCTGTGGAATTCACCATTGGCTGCAATTACTGTGGCAGCTATAAATTGATGGAACATAGTTTGATTTAAGATTGTAGTGCAGACATGCCCTAAAATGGGTTATTTAATTGTTGCCTAATCATATATATAGTGGCCCAGTGTCTGTGAGTCTGTAACGCCGAAGTGCTGGCTGTTCCCTCTGGGGGGCGCTGTTGCATGAAATGCTGGCTGTTCCCTCTGGGTGGCCCGTGCTGCATGGGGACTGTGGAGCCCAAACGGCCGCTTGCTCCCCCGTGGCAGCCCGGCTGAGCGGTGCGGAAGTCAGCCGAGCGCCACGGCAGGAGGGGAAGGGAAGAGGGGCAGTGATGTGTGGCGTGACAGCAGCTCCAGGCCCCGCCCCCTAGCCATGCCACCCCACCCTCCTTCGCCTCCCACCATGGAGCTTGGCTGACTTCTGCGCTGCTCTGCCAGGCCGCCACGTGGGAGCAAGTGGCGCAAGCGACCGTTTGGGCTCCATGCTCCCCATGCAGTATGAGGAGCATGGAGCCCAAAAAGCCATTTGGGCTCCGTTGTCCCCCGAGTGAGAGGCAAGAGTAGGAGAAGAAGAGAAAGAGAGAAACAGAGAGAGGGGCAGGAGGTGAGGAGAGCTGAGAGAGAGGGAGCGGGAGGCAGTAGGAGGAGCAGGGAGAGAGAGAGATGGAGCGAGAGACCAGAGGCTCAGGAGAGAAGACCGAAATAGAAAGGGAATAGGATGTGGAGGATGCAATGAGATAGAAATCATACCAAAAAAAAATGTCTGTGTAAGAGAAGACCAAATGTTTTTTTCGAAAATATGAAATATAACATTTTAGGGATTTAACTATTGGTTAAAACAGTTAACCAGTTAAACAATTACAATTATGTCTTTTACCCAGTTAACCATTAACTGAGGTTGATCCAGTGAGCTGGGGCAAGGCAGTCAGGGCTATGGAATACAGGGGAGCTGGGATCTTGCTGGCCACGCATGGTTGAGGCTATTTCATGAGCCACTCTGGCATGGTCATGGCCAGGGTCCTATCTGCCTGCCAGGGCCTCTTCAGTCTGACTTGCCCATTGCAGGCAGGTCCCTGCCTGTGGTCTGCTGCACTCAGGTGGGCTGTGTGGATGCCAGGCCTGTCGCAACTTGGGTCCCTCTGGCTGGCCAGCAGCCCAGTGCATCCAGGACCAGCTCTGGGATGGCCTGGCTAGTTGACTGGCAGGGTTTGGGCAGGGTCCGGTTAACTAGTAAGTAAGACTAATGCTTAACCTTTTACCTGGCCTGGCTAGTTGCCTGGCAGGGTTTGGGCAGGGTCTGGTTAACTAGTAAGTAAGACTAATGCTTAACCTTTTACATTCCCTATAGCCCTTTTTTTAAATTCTGTTTGCAGATCCACATAAAGACTGTTAGTTTTAGTTTTCCAATAAACTAAAGGTACAAAAAATCTACAGACACTGGCCAGATCATTGTTCTGCTAAAATACATTCCAGTTACTGAAAAACTGGACTACAGAAGTATTAAAACACACATAAATCCTAACAAAGGGAGGTCTGAGCCTTACACGGGCAAAACAACAGTACTTACTGTTTAGTTCAGGTATTATTTAAACCAATGTAATCAGAGTATTGAACTGGATTTCCACTTATGATTACACTTATTATCTATGAGAAGTGCTTTATTATTGCATATCAGTACAGCAGTATCCTGAGATAATGTTTTAAAGAGAGCATTATACAATTTCTCTGAGTAAATGGAGAGCACAAAATAGGGGAACCTTTTTTTCAAACTTAAGTGCCTAAAATTAGCTTTCTAAGATCCCCAGCTTTTCAGATGTTCTAGAGACCCACTTCTTATTGGCTATATCTACTTTGAAATGCTATTTTGGGATACAGGAGTATCCTGAAATAGCTAGCCCATGTCTTAACAGCAAGCCTGTTGTTTAGAAATATAACGGACTTGCTATTCTGACATCCCTGTAAAACCTCATTCCACGAGAAGTAAGGGATGTTTCAGAATAGCGGATTATTTCAAATCTGGCACTATGCAGACAACGTCAAATTATGAAATAAGCTATTTTGAAATACGATTAAAATAAGAGATGCAATTTGCATAGACCAAATTGTGTATCTTATTTCGAGCTATGGTGCAGTGTAGACGCACCCTATACTGACCAGTAATTTCAGAAGGCTGACTTGGATGGAGGCTGCTAGCATTCAGGAGTCCTGCAAATCAAACCATCTATATAGTAGCCAAACGATGGATTCAGATGCCTAACACTCATGTTTGTAAATTTTTATCTTGGAGTCAAGCGATTGGGGAACTCATGTTCAGCTACTTATCCACCATGACCCCTAAATCTTTTTCAGAGTTGCTGCTTCCCAAGAGAGAATCCCCACCCAATCCTGTAACTGCAGTCTACATTCTTTGTTCCCAGGTGTACTGATTGACATTCACTGTACTAAAATGTATATTGTTTGTTTGTGCCTTGTTCATCAAACGATCCAAATCACACTGAATCGCAGATCCGTGCTCTGTTATTTTCCATTTCCCCCAATTTTTGTGTCAACTGGCAACTTTCTTAGTGATTTTCTTTTCTTTCCAGATCCTCCTTGAACATCATGTAAATGTGTGTCTGCACATCCCCTCTTTAAAATAAAGGTTCTTTATGGGATGGTGCAGTGTGGCTGCTGTTTTGTTTGTGAGTAATCCCTGTGTATACCATTTGTAATGGACTTCAAGCTTGATCCAAAACCTACTGAAGTCATTTGAAGTCATTCCATTATTCTTCCACCAGGTACTTTCCCTAGGACCGAAGGACACTAAGCTCTGGTCTGCACTACAGAATTATTATGGTATATAATTACATTGTTCAGGAAAATGAATAAGCCAAACCCCTGTGCAGGTAGTTACACCAACCAAAGCACTGGTATAGAGAGTGATGTATCCCATTGACATAGCTACCCCCTCTCCCAGAGATGGATTAACTAAACTGACAGGAGAGTGTTCTCCCATCATCTTATGGTGTTTTTATTAGTGACCCAGTGATACTGATGCAGTTGTCACGAGCAGCATTTTAAGTGTAGACATGCCCTAAGATTCCTGGAATCTCTATTTCCCTATTTGAACAGTTGGAGAAAAATATGATAAATAATCCAGATCTTTTTACCTTGACTGAATCTTATGTTGTTTTCTCCTTGAATCCATGTTGTTTTAGCTCCAAATCTTTTCCTTCCTCATTTCTTTTCTTATTTCATACTTCATTTTTCCATTGTCCCACTACAGACAAATTAAAACTTGTAAGGAGTCATTTCCATACTCACATGATTACTAACTTTTTAGATATATTTCCTATTGTACTTCATCACCTACTGGCAGGGTCGTACATTAAATTACATAAAATGCAATCGAACAAAAATGTATGCCATGTAGTTGTAGCAATGTTGATCCCAGAATATTTCAGAGACAAGGTGGGTGAGGTAAAATTGGTGTTAGCGGGCCACTCGATTTTGAATGGTCCTTTATACTATGTGCTATTTATGCTAAGCAAGCCTTTCCTCCTTGCATTTTGCTGTAACCCTGGTTGTCCCTTTCCCAAACTTGAGGAAGACCTCTGTGTACCTCCAAACTTGTCTCACTCTCAGACAGAAGTTGGTCCAATAAAAGATATTATCTCACCCCTCTTGTCTCCCTAATCAAACAAAATATCATTTAAAATAATTAGACAAACTGATTAGATATCTACAATAGCATTAAGTGCCTATTCACTAATAACCACGATAAATATTCACAGTGAAATAACAGGTAAATACATTTTGATTGTGTATGGTATAAAGTAAATACTGTAGAAGATGATAAATACTACCTTCCATCTTAAAAAAAAAAAAGGAAAAAAGCCAAGGTTGCAGAGAACATCTGTTAGAAATTATGGTTTTTCTTACTTATTAGCACATCTGCAGTCTAGACCATTGTCTAGGAGTTTACTGACTGGAAGCAGATTCCAGATGCTCATTTACCAGCGCAGAGAAGACAAGGGGATCTGTAAAAGGGATACTCTTGCACTCCTCCAAAAATGTACCTTGAGGTTCCCCGCAGAATCCCAAGGGTTCACTTCAGTCTCTTTGCTCTGTTTCTATAAACTGCCTTCTGGGAAGCTTTCTCTATGTTTCTTTTATAACTCTGCTCTGTGTTTAAATGCAACTCTGAGAGGTACGTTAGCAATGATGACAGATGACTAAGTAGACGAGGGTGCAAAAAAAAAAAAAAAAAAGGAACTGTGCCCAACACCACAGAATGAAGAGCTTTCTTAATCAGTGAAATGTTTGTAGTTCTACCTATATTGATTTAACTATATACCCTACTATGGTGGGTCTATCAATAATGTGGAGTAGAGCAATATGATACTATGCACCACAATGATTTTTGTCTTTCATACAAACTGCATCCCCAAATGCTCTACAGGATTAAAGAATGCTGGCACAAAGTGACAATTAAAAGTTATAGCAGAGAAAGTGAGAAATTAAGAGGCAAAGGAAAAACATATTTGGAGAACTGATTAATAGGGAATGCAATTCTGTCCTTATCAATTAAAGGTTTCTGTAAAGGAGTAAAAAGGAGCCTAGTTTTAGGGTCAGCCTGCATTTAAAACAAGTACAGGCATAGCTATGTTGCAAGACCACCTCTGTATAGATGCAGCTACATTAACAGCAGAATACTTCTGTTGCCATAGCTCATAGTACTTGTAGAGATGATTTTCCTGCATTGGCAGAAAAACGCCTTCATAGCTATGTCACATCAGCCAGGTCTACACTTAAAAATTAAATTGGCATTCTGAGGCATGAAAAATTCACACCTCTCAGGCCACCTTTCCCCAGTGTAAATGTGCATAGGTTGATAACAGAATCCTTCCATTGAACTAACAGAGAATACCTGCAGTGACAAAATGCTAATGTGTCAGCTTACTTTGCTTGAAATCTTCAGAGGAGTAGCCGAGTTAGTCTGTAACAGGAAAAACTTAAAAAACAACAAATAGTCTAGTAGCACCTTAAAGACTAATAAAACACGTAGATGGTATCATGAGCTTTCGTAGGCACAACTCACTTCTTCAAATGAAGATTTAAAATAGTGTTCTCCTAGTTCAACAGCTGCCTGAAGATTAGTATGAACTTGTATTTATTTATGGGAATTTTTTACTGAATGCAATTATAAATTCATTATAATTATTTATTAAATATACAGTTTGTTTCTTTTGTTATCATGGTTTGTTTGGTTGGGTTTTTTTTTCACTAAGTAGCTGAAGTCATGACATTGCTGTTCCTTTCTCTTGTGTGTGATGTTTTCCCTGGTTATTCATTTATATTTTATTAAAATCTCATTTTCTCAATCCTTGATACTTGCGTGATTTTTCCTTTACCATATGAGTATTTAACCTGTCTGTAGCTGTTCTCAGGAGCACCTGTAGCCTGCTGCACAAGGGAAGCATTTCCTACTGTGCTCACCTTAAGAAGGAGGTCAGATGCTATATTTGCCAGAAGTCCAAATGTTTGCATTATGCTAGTTCAGTGAATAAGAAACAATCTGGGTCAGAGTTTGTTTTAAGCAAACCTCTGTAGTACTTTCCTTTGTGATTATCTTAAACATGCCAGAGGATGGACCAACATCAGCATCTTCCCAAATTGATTATGGACAATCATTGGACAATTCTGACCCTGAGTTAATCATCTAATACCTGGAGTATCAACTTCAATGGACTTGTAACATTACCTTTGAAGCTGTATATATTTTTTCTGGTCACAATATTATCCAGGTGATTTTTTTAAAGCCAAAGGCAGCATATAATGTCCTGACCTTCTGTATTAGTGAATTCAGCTCACTGACTATAAACAGTATGAAGAAGTATTTTGTTTTATATTAAAATTACTAACCATTATTTTCAAGTGACCCCTTGCTCATGAGAGCAAAGGTAAGGAGTACACTGGAAAATTACTTGGCTAACAACAGGAAATGAATCCATGAATTTATGAACTCTGAATTGAAAAGACCAGATACCTTGTTATGCTCTTTTATGAGGTACTTTGTAAAAAAAAAACCAACCCCCCTGATTTTTAATTTTAAAGACCTCAAGTAAGTGCTTATATATCTTTTATGGTATTTTTAATATACCTGTCCCCGCGGTTTAGGTAATTATATAAAGCTGTTGGAATGTTTATATTTTTAAAACTTTGCCTCAGTTTTTCCATCTGCATATTACCTACCATACAATATAGTTTAGAGGATTAATTAGTATCTGAACAGAGAGGTTAGGTGACTTCTCCTAGGCCAGTTACTAACAGCTGAGATTAGAACACAGGGAACTTCTGGCTTCTGTTATTTTATTATTCATATTCAGGGCTGGACATGGAAGGTGGGGAACTCAGCTCTGGGTTCCTTGGAAGGGATGTGGCCTTAGGCAGAAGGAGGGGGACGGTGCGAGGGTAGGGGCAGTCAGCTCTCAGCACCATCCAGATTGCACCACACAGAGCTCTGGCAGCAATTTAAAGTGCTCACAGCAGCAGCTCCCCTCCACCTTTTTAAAATGCTGGATCCTAGGGCAACTGCCCCATTTGCCCCCACCCACCGCAGACCTGTTTGTATTTGGTGCATGGTGTATGGAGTATTAGGTGTATGGTGTATTGAAAACTGTATTAAAATAAGATGCTGTCATTTTAATTGGTAAGGGTTTACTGGTCCTACTTGCAGGCTAGTGGGCACTATAGATGAGTATGTGATGTGCGTCTTTCTCAGTAGAGAGTCTGCAGAGAGTCCGCTCTAAGTGGGGTGGGGCGCCTTATGCCTTTCTGTTTAAGAGGATCACCAGTTTTGTGTGTGTATTTTTGAGTGCTTGTGTGTACTGCTTAGAATTCTGAGCAATAAAGTAGTGTTATGTTGCAGTCTTCCAGCAGCAGTATTTTGTTTTTATATGACATATATATATCATGGCAAATACTATTATGTTCAGCACCAATCCAGACCCCGACTGAGATTCAAGTCCAATTTTGACACACACACCTATAGTAGGAGGCAGTCCCTGCCCCAAAGAGCTTACAATTAACAGTTGAAATATGTTCTGTTTTATTTATATCCATAATGCATTTAGACATGTCTGTTTTTACAACTGTTGCTGCACACAGCACCTCTGTTTTCCATGGGCTCTAATGAAATCAAAAGACTCGGGACATCTCAAATTTGATCCATGGAAATACATCTCTCTCTCCAGGCAGAGCCCCACTCAAGGTAAGAGGGTGTAATAAGTGATAGAAATGTAGCCGTGTTAGTCTGGGGTAGCTGAAGCAAAATGCAGGACAATGTAGCACTTTAAAGACTAACAAGATGGTTTATTAGATGATGAGCTTTCGTGGGCCAGACGCTCATCATCTAATAAACCATCTTGTTAGGGTGTAATAAGGCAGCTCTAGCTGGAGTTCTAGCCCCAAGTCCTACCACAGAATAGTCCTCCTGCCTACAACTCAGCAGCAGCCTGGCCAGTTCCAATGGGCTCACTGTGAGATTTGCAGTACGTGCTCTTTGTCATAATGTCCCAAGCAGGGGATTGCATTAGA